TATAGTACTACCCAAGTATCCATTTCATTTACCACCGAATTCTTCACCTAGATCGAAATGTTTTATGCCTAAATGGACATTTTTTTGACAGAAACATGATGTCATAATTATGAGGCATACGGTTTTCATCCGATCGCAAAAGACATGGTGGCGCGCTGATTATGTTCTGGGCCTATATTCGAACATATCCTTTTTAGGAAAAAGATTGATCAAATGGACATTTTTTGACAGAAACATGATGTCATAATTATGAGGCATACGGTTTTCATCCGATCGCAAAAGACATGGTGGCGCACTGATTATGTTCTGGGCCTATATTCGAACATATCCTTTTCAGGAAAAAGATTGATCAAATGGACATTTTTTTGACAGAAACATGATGTCATAATTATGAGGCATACGGTTTTCATCCGATCGCAAAAGACATGGTGGCGCACTGATTATGTTCTGGGCCTATATTCGAACATATCCTTTCTAGGAAAAAGATTGATCTAACATGCGAATACTTTTTCTTTCGTAGCTAACTTTTTTCTGAGAGGAGCTAACTTGTGTCCTTTATAAGCTAATAACTAGATCTTTGCTCACTTTGCTGCCAACTTCATAAAGGCTTCCCTACACTGCGGGAAGTAAGGTATAATACCGTAAGACGGGTGTTCTTGTCGTTCGACATCAACAAAGCTTCTGGTCCGGACTTGATGAATGCCGTTGTATTGAAGAGGTGTGCAGGGAGTCTGCTCCAGTTCCTTCGCGTATCTTTCAGATATCTTATGATTCCGGCACCAACCAAGAAAACTGGAAATATGCTCATGTTCAACCCATCCCAAAAAAGGATCTAAGACCGACCCTTACAACTACAGACTTTCTGGTTTCCGGCACCAGCGATCCACAGGGGACCTCCTGGCCTACGTCACGCAATTGTGGAGTAAACTCATCCAGTCTTCTGGTGAGGCTCATGTCGTTGCTCTCGATACCACGAAAGCGTTCGATCAGCACGCTGCCCTCTTATGCAAACTTTCATCCTATGGCCTCCCAGAGAAGCTTTGTAGATGGGTGGCTGACTTCCTCTCTGACTGCAGGATATCCGTCTTAATTGAAGGGTTCTCCTCTTCATCCCACAATGTCAACGCGGGTCTTCCCCAGGGATCGATCTTGGCTCCGACACTGTTCCTCTTACATATCAACTACCTCCGTTCCTGTATGATCAACCCAATCTTTTCTGATGACAGCACTCTGCATGCAGGAATTCAAAGCGACAATACGATCTCTGCCAGTGAGCTGAGAAAAAGAAGGCTAGTGGCGACTTCCTCTCTGACGAGAGACCTGGAGGTTATCACTGCTTGAGGACGCAACAATTTTGTAAATTTTAATGCTTCTAAAACACAGTACTGTACTGTACTTTACAAGGCCCAGATAAGACCTAGCCTCGAATACTGTTCACACGTTTGGGGTGCTGCCGCCCCGACTACATTATTTATAATCGATGGTGTCCAGAGGAGGGCTGTCCGACTGATCGATGACTCCCCTCTAATAGACAGTCTCGAGACCCCTTTGCACCGGTTGGCCGACATAGATCTAACCGAGTCTAACTTCGTACATCCAGAACTGGATGATACGACCGCTAGTTTGTCCCGAGGTTGTTGAGATTGTGGAACAGTCTACAAAAAGAAGCTTTTCCCAGTTATAGTTTGTTAATCCTATTCAAGAATCGGATTAACAAAATTTCTTTGGGATCCTCATAGCAGCCGCGATGTCCCGGCTTCTGCTTGCACGGCTGCTCCGGTATAAAAGAACTGACACTATAGGGAATAAGGAGCCAATCAATCTGCTTCACACCCTTTTTTTATTTACGAATAACAAAAGTCATCTTACATTGTCTATGGCAGTAATTTTTCTTATTTTTTTATATGTATTTCTTTTTTCTATTATTTTTTAGTGGTTTATTTTTTTATAATAACATTAATCTTTACTATGTACATATACATATTGGGGCTACATGTAGATTCTATTGTAGGCGGTGGCACTCGCTGTATTACGTTATGCGAAGTAGAATAGTTTATTTGATGTTATGCGCAGATAATCTTTAATCTTTCCCGTATTTCTGAGAATGAATGGTATTTATACCAGATTTGAAAATACTAAGCACGTGCTTCCATCTCTATAGAGCTCACAGCCAGACAGGGGAAAAGCAATAACTCAATTTGCACTGCGTATTTGAAGAGTCAGTGGCGTATCTTTTTGCATCACTTGAAAAGAATTCCGATACATGAGACATTGCCGATTTACTGGTCTTGTCCAGATTTTGTGTCTAATTCAAAGTTATTGTGGGTCAAAAGCTCTATGGTGTTACTGATGAGTATGCATAATCAGCAATGGTCTATTCTTCTCAGCCGAAGTATAGTATTGATTGAAAAAGCTAGTTGGGCGGACCTGTGTGCTCATTCCCATTCTGGAAGCAGCGCCCCTCGGGGGTCTCTGCTCTTGCCATACTAACCTGTATAGAGAGGAGTTGTGCCATACATTGCCAAGTATAGTAATAACGTTGTTTTACACTTTATATTGTAATCAGTCCAGTGCTTTTTTTAACAGCCGCCTGCAGCGCACAAGCAAATCTGCACCATCCTCGGGAAACTCTATTAACCCCCATACTTCCAACTCACAAACGTGAAAGGTATGCTGGGTCCCGGTTATCGATTTTTCAGTATTTCTGCCGAAATGAGACCTTATTTACCGATATACCAAAACTCCTCATTTTTCACGATTTTTTTAAGTAATATCTCCAGATTTTTCACACAAAAAGCTAGAACCAAAAATGAATCAAAGAATGTTATATGTTATAATTATACAGGGTGTCCGCAAAGTTGGGGTTTTCCTTTACACGACATGTAGATCTTGTGATAATAAGCGGATTTTCTTAGTAGCATATACAACAATGTCTTAAGAGAACCGAGATATTGGGCTCGGCAAACTCAATCAAACCTGAACCAAACCGAAGTCGGTCCTGCCCTCTCCGTCCACCGCGCCAGCATATAGTTTAAGACGTACGATTACGATGTTCGAATTTTGCGACAGAGCCGTAATTGGAATTTCAATTCAACTGAACAGTGAGTACTTTTTCATTTATTTTTTTACTTGTTCGCTCACGTTTCACCACACATTAGCTTTGTTTTATCAAGCGTAGTTGTGTTTGAGAAGGAAAACCCCAACTTTGCGGACACCCTGTATACGCACGTCCCTTACTCTGCTTTTCCTGTATTAGTTTTTGTGCGTACAACAAGTACCTACAGACTGGTAGATCACCGTCATTACCGTTGCCACATCTCCGAACAAGCAATAAGGAAACCAAAGCTCGTCTGTTTTTAATTGAATATTAAATTTAAATGCCAAGTGATGACGCTTCAACTTCTGAGCTAAATTATTCAGAATTTTATAAACAAAAATGGGAAAAGAAGATTCCAGGATGGCTGAAAGGGAGTTCGAAGGGCGACCAGTATGCTCATTATACAGGTTGTAATAAAGAAGTTGATATTTTTTACTGATTTCTTCTTTTCCGGTGCGGCAACGGCAACACCGGTTACGTCTCGCCTAATCTAAACCAGATGTCGAGAGGAATGTATCGCAAAATGTATCCTAGATGTTCCTGACACATAAAAATGTTTTAGGGTATATGTCGCGAAGAGAATGATTTCCCTAGAAGTATAATTCATTCACAATGTCTGACAACATGGCTATTTCTGTTTGTATTCCTTTGCCTGGCACTCCCGCTGGGTAGACTTTTCTATGCTGGCACAAGACTAAATACCAGGACACCGAAGCTGCTATAAGAAGCTTAAAGATACTTTGCCAATAGGATTTTTGAACTGCTCAGGCAGATTGTTTCCTAATCTCGACACCCTAGGAACAAAGGAGCGCCGGAGGCTCGGATGAGAGACCGAAGTGAGGCGGGTCTGCCTAGCAGGATCATCGTGATCGATGAACAAAGCCCGATGGCATATTGGTAGAAGAAGGTCAGATCGCCGACGACCCGTCGGTGCGAAAGGGTCCCGAGACTATCTGTTAGAGCAGAGTTATCGATCATCTGGACCGCCTATCCAGCATGGATAGTGTAGTCGGGGCGGCAGCACTCCAGACATATGCACAGTACTTGCAGCTTGGTCTTGTCAGGGCCTGATGCAGAGTGAGAAGGTTATGTGGAGAAAAGTACTTCGTAGCTCTAAACAAATAGCCTAGCTTTTATCCCGCGATGTGTCCATGCAAGATCAAGGTCTCTGTGATCTGGACTCAGACCAGATAAAATGAACGACTATTTGGCAGAACTGTACAGCACTGTTTTGGAAGCATTAAGCTGTAGCAAATTGTTGCGTCTTCAAGCAGTGATAGCCTCCAGGGCTCTCGTCAGTCGCTGCTAGCCTTTTTTTTCCAGTACACCGACAGAGATCGGCCTGTCACTCTGAATTATGCAAAGCGGATTGATCGAACAGTAAAGGATGATCTCTGAGGAATACTCGCGTTGACATTGTGGGATGATGAGGAGAACCTGTCAATTACGACAGATATTTTGCGGCCACAGAGACAGTCATTCATCTACAAAACTTCTCTGAGAGGCCATCGGATGGAGGTTTGTATAAGAGGGCAGCATGGCATAGCTGATCTGAAGCTTTACTTATAACAGAAAGCAGAGCTACAGGTATGTAGTTCATAGATCCTCTTTTTGGGACGGCCTGGACATAAGCAAATTTCCAGTTTTCTGGGAAAGTACCATATTCGTAAGATATCTGGAAGCGACGAGTACGAACTTTAGTAAGCTCCGCTGCACACCACCTCAATACAACAGCACAAATCAGGTTCGAATTGTTGATGACGTCTTACTATGATAATATGTATTGCAACCCCTGATTTCGGATATTTGAGGCTGGGGGCAATGCTTCCCCTTAACCCCGCCTATGACCAGACTGTGGCCTGATCATGCTGGGATGGGACTGCGCCCGAGGTCCGTGCGCCGTATTTTATTGTCTTTTGAATGGGTCGTTGGCAGACCCACTGTCGCTGAGCGCTCACAGCGCTACTGAGAATAACCCGAGAGTCGTCAGCCAACACAATAATTGTTGCATCAGCCGGTTTTGATCAGCATATAACATCTGATTTTGTTTATCGCGGTTTATCAAAGAAATGAACCCAGATTGGGCTGAAGCCGAGTTACTTCCGGAGGTGCAGGAGAATGATGTCAAGTCCCTCTGGGTTTTCGGGTATGGATCGCTGTGCTGGCGACCAGGGTTCGACTTCAACAAAGCTGTCACGGGGTTTATTAAAGGGTATGCTAGGCGGATGTGGCAGGGAAATACCACGCATAGAGGAACTGAGGATAAGGTAAGTAATTGATTATTTTTTCAATATGTTAGACGCGAATCATATATTGGCAGTTGTTTTATACTTTAGAAATCGTCGCGATCTGTGGACCACCTGTTGATGCATTATAATGCCCAGTTTACACCTCCCGATGAATGGTACCACAACATTTAATCCGTCTTTACATCACGAAACCAGATTAGTACCTAATACTACAATATTGGGAGATTATTTTTCTTTTCAATCCATCGTAAAAATTCTCGAAACTGACATAATATATACACAATTTTTTTAGACGTTTCGTCGTTTCTACAACTTCATTTTCTCTTATTGTGTTTTAATTGTGCAATATACCTGCTAGTATAATGTTATTACTCGATTTTTCAATCCTTTTTCAATAATTTTATTCCATACTTAGAAATACCGATGCCACCAGTTTTTGCGTCCACAATAAGCTGACATCCCCAAATGTTTGTGCATTTTTTGTTGTCAAAAATGTTTCGTTCAATTCTCCAACATACACGCACAAAAATATTTCTAGATTAAAGAAACGCCTGAGAAAGTATCTGGTTGAAAAGTGCTTTTACTCTCTCCACGAGCTTTTTAATATGTAAGCACACACGCCTATATTTTTGAGGTGTATAATGTCCAGCTGGGGGCCTACATATTTTAATTTCAAGAATTTGTTTCGGCGCACTTTATTCAAATTGTTTGTCCTCCTTGTTTGGAATGTCTATTGTGCTTTATTTACATCACTAGCTTTATTTATTATTTATTTATGCATTTTATACTTTTGTTATATGAATCAAATTCAGGCGGATAACCAAATGAAAATGGTATTTACCATTTTGGATTGGTATTCACCGATCCGTTCAAGCGAGTGTGACGTCATGAATCAGCTGTTATATGTCATAGTTATCACCGCAAAATTGTGGTATTTACAAAACTCGGAAGTAGTTTTATATTTCTGGTTGTTATTTGACATGTGACAAGTTAGAATTTTGCCGGGTATTGGATATTTTTAGTGTACTTCAGCTTCATTTTTGGGAAATTTGATACAGGCTGACTTCAGTTTTAGCATAAGAGAGCACCTTATTAGTTATAATCATTACTGTTGTTGGGGACACTTTAAATCTAGTTCCTACGCTTAACAAAGTATCCTGTATAGCCATATACCACAAGAATATTAAAATATGGTCATATAAACCCACTTTATGATGTCCACCTGTATACGGTTTTGTTCATATCTTGTTTTCGTCGCTTTTCCATCATTTCTGCTAAATCAGTAAATATTGTCTTTGACATGCGGAAAAGTTTAGAGAATTGAAAGTTATCATAGCTACATAGGCATGGTTCCATCAGTAAAATGTTTTTTCTGAAAAAAAAAACATTCCTCCCATTAATATTAGATATGAAAGGTTTCTTTTTTCAACTTTCCATACCCCGTTGTAGACGAAAAAGCACCGATTATTAAGTGATAATAAAAATAATCAGAAATTATATACGCGCTTTTCTAAAATAAACAACTTGAAACAAACCGCGGTTAAAACCAACGCGTTCAAGCGATTCGAGTCATCATCCTGTGTGTCATCTTGAACCATATTATAACCGCGGTACATAATACGGAAATTTTGGTTATTCGCTTGGATTTGATTTTTGTTTCAAGGTCTTTGTTTACTATTTGTATTCTGTATTATGTAATACTCTTCTTTTAGGTGGCCACGTTTCTCTTTGTGATAATATTGCTAAATACGTATATATCACTATTGCGTTTGTATATACGGTTTTTAAACTGACAGAATGTCCCGATTTACGTTTTATTTTTTATTGTGGCATAGTGTATTTCATATTTATAGACTTTTCTTTTCCCTCATATCACGTGACAACCACATATGACTTTTTCTCGTATAATGATAAGTCTTATATCATATCAAATGATCATAAAGACAATAAAGCTTATATCTATGTACCTACTAAGTTATTAAAGTGTAGTGCCCATAACATAAAGTTAAACATAAATCAAGTTATTGACATATTTTTACTTAATATGGCTAGAGTTTGACATGTGGCAGTAAGGCATGTATAGAAATTGGACCAAAAAAAACTGAAGAATCTAAGCTCTGAAAATACATCGACGATAGAGCTACGACGAACATAATTACAGCATCGTCAGACTTCATATCTGCATATTTAGGTAGTTTGCAATCGTCTTTTGGGCACAGCCGTGCACAGACACATTTTTTTGAAATTCGCGAAATATTTTGTTATGGTGGGGAGACCAAAAATATAAATTTACCAAAACTCTTGTTATTTTTAATGTTTCTTAATTTTTAGTGTCTCTAGAATTTTTAGGCAGAATCAATTAATGCCTCTAAGCTTTTCGGAGCTTTGGATAATATTCCAATAGCCACAGATACTATAAATCGAGTACATACGCTTAAAACTTTAAATCAGGAATTTCTGTTGAAATTTCAGTATTTACTTTGTTTGCTAGCTACTGATAAATTGGAATCCTATAATAACCACAACTAATTTTGTTTTTCCAGTATGTCTAGAAAGTATTAATAAATGTGTAATGGAACACATTCCTATTGATTCGTCACCAAATTAATGAACTTGGCCTTACCTTGGAGGTTTTAGGTGTTATCTCAATGGAAACACTTTCACTAAGTGGTTTTTTGTTGCACGATTTTGTCTTTATTATTTTAATATCACATTTTTTATTCAACTCTAGATACAGCGCCGAAATACAGAGGCTTATATTGAAATTAGAATATAAACTGTTTTATTCTTTGATAATGTTTTAAAAACGCTGATTTCTATGAAAAAGTGATTCATGTGTCATTAACGTCATTTCTTATAAACTTTCTATTCAAGCTGTAATTAAAATTTCCGCAAAATCTTGGCGTTATGAATATCTGGTCACGCATTGGCCGAAGCGACGAATATTTAGCAACCACGGCGGGTGACAGGTTAGGACCTCTCATTGCAGCCTAGTCTTCCCCGCAAAAAATAATTATCGATTAAAGTGACAAAACCATTGAAAAACACATTTTCTAGTATTGTTTTGAGCAAGTCGCTACAGAAAATACGGACAATTTTCCGGATTTGCCTGTTTTATTTTGCCACGAGCCGCCACTGCGGACAAAGATGGCAATCTGGAAAAGAATGGTGAGCAGATATAACGATTTTGATGCATAGCTTCTTACTCTATCCGTTCCTGCCAAATTTCCCAAGCCTTACATACAATAATTAAAAGTAAATTTTGAAAAACGAACATTCAAACCACAACATTCAATTCGCGTCATCAAGTATATTTCCTGTATTGTCAAGATTAGTACCTTGACTTAATTACCTCATATTTATGTATTTTTAACGTTTATGTGCTTGGTACAAACACACAATAAAAAACCTAATGTTTTTGTTGCTATATGCTTCAAGTTCCTTATCACATGAGGACATAGCCAAAAATTGTTGAAGAGCTAAAATGGTCTGCCATATGCTAAACCAATGTTTAAAAACGCAGGTATAGGAAAATTTATTTGCCTCTTACGCCACTGGCGACGAAATATTGTAATCGCGAAAAAAATCGAAAATGAGATATGTTTTTGGACGATATACATGACATCTGCATCTCGAAAAACCATGTCACTCATTTCCGTCGGTCTGGCTGTCTGTCGGTCCGTTTTTCTGTCGGTCTGTCCTCTATTCCTTGGTCCATCTATAACTGGGAAAGTACCACTCTGATTTTGAGGAAATTTTTACACAAGGTCAGGTTTAAATGACCGCTGCGGTCTGACTACCGGTAGTGCGTGTTGTTACTTAAGGAAGTACATATTACACAAAACGAGAACTCTGAACTCGGCATGCCTGACCGCTTCTGTCTGCATCCAGCCTTACTACTATACCAAGGACGAAAAAGCAAAGAACATTTTTTTATACCTCAACCACTACGAAGGCGTGATGTTATATGACTTCACCTTTCTACAAATCCTTACCTCCATGTATTATTAACTTTTAGGTATAAAAACAATAGTGGCAAGGCGAAGAAAGTAATTATATTATAATGAAATGGCTTGTGTAACCTTGAATATATTTTTCTGCGTCTGATACATACTGCGAAAAATCTGGGTCATTGATTAATACAGTACCATACACATGTAAAATTCGTTTCTAGATATAAAATTTTCAACTATCGTTATGAAACGTTCGTATCTAGTATGGTTCACGATTTGTATATGAATTTGTGAATACGCATTTGTTAACAGAGTCAGCTGTTATGCACATGTTTTTTATCATTATCTCTATGCAAAAGTTGTGTTATTAACAGATTACATTGTACACAAGCATATCATGATACATTTAGAAGCATTTGGAATCACCGTTTGTTATAATCAAAACGACGAAAAAGCAGAGGCTACAAAAATCACGGTTTTGAAATCGAGCATAAAACTGTAATGTCAAATTTTCGCATTTACAGTTTATAGTTCAATTATATTTATGCTCTTGGTATCGCAGAATCGTGCATTTTTTATTTTTACCGAAAGCAAAATATGACGTATTCTGTGTTTGGAATTACCCTCGATTATAGTGGATAAATTTATAAAATAAATTGCCTCAGAGGATAATAGTATGGTGCGTTGTTGTAGTTATACAACAGGATGGTATCAATTGCTACGTGTTACTTGCATTACTTGTGGCATGTTTAAATTTATATCGCGTATTTTATCAGTTAGTGTACATTGTTTCAAATGATTTTATTTCCTGATTTTGTAATTTAGAAAATGAAACAATTTTTGTTTTCATACATTTTGCTAAAAATAAAATTCAGTCATGTTTGAAAACAATACCAAAAGATCTCTAAACTTATATTTTTGTGTTCGGTGATACTTTTACTTCTCACGCCAATTGGCGAGGAAGCATTGTAATCACAAAAAAAATAATGATGAGGTATTATGGTTGTTTCAATCCTTGGCCCCTCTATAATTTGGAAATTACCGCCACGAATTTGATAAATCTTTGAGACAAGGTTACTTCTATAGAAATCTAACATTGTCTGGCCGAATCAAAACCACATATATGTTTATATTTCTTTTTATTGTACGAGGTTTCGACCAATTTGATCCTTTTCAGGTACAATTGACATCTGTGATAATACATTTTGTTTTGTGTCTTCCAAGTGAGATTTCTTTTTTTTCCTTTTTCACATTTCTATACAGTATATTACTACAAAGTCTGAACCGACCTATAACATGCTGAGATTGTGCGAAGTCGTCATTGCAACTTTAAGATGGTACCGGCCAAAACGAACAAAGCCCAGAATCACCTGTGGTAGGCAGGTGACAAGCGGGCAAGAGGTTATCTGACGTAGCGGGCACCTCACCTCGTCCATCGTTCCGAAAACGCCAAAAGTCCTTTGTAGGTTCTGAAAAGCGATCCAGCGGCGGCGTAGCTACGGGTAAATAAAAAAAAAATGAAATGAAAATCACTAAAGCTCCGCTGCTAAAGCTTCTGAGTTTCTTGCTTATTTTCAGAAAAAAATTTCTAGGGTTAAGTTACGGATTGTAAACAATGCATCTTCAGTATCGGTAAAATATTTTCTATTACTGAGAAGTGTCGGCTCATATGTAATACTACCTACCTCTGACCTACCTCATTTTTTTGCGCTCTCAGATTTGATAAAAAAATATCAATCGAAAAAAATTCTGAATATTTTTAAAATATATTTAATTTCTTGCAGCCTGGTAGAGTGGCCACGTTGATAGAAGACCCACAGGTAAGTTCATTTTATAAACTATTTCTCTTTTAAAGAATCATAAAGTCAAAAAATACTTCTAAAAAAAACAGATATTCTCATTCCGGATAATCTAAGATCATGGAAGTAAACGCTTAGTGACTGGTTACAAAAGATGTGTTCAATGTTCGCTTATATGGTCTGTATAAAAATGCGTCTTCTAATCTTATGCGTATCAATATTGTCTTGACAAATATCTCGGCCAGCGAAATTGAAAACCCCATAAAAACGTATGTAAATATAATTATTGTATATCAGGGCCTTGAACTGTCGGTACACATAACATAATCAGCATATTTCTTCTACATTACTCCCAGGAATATCTGGTTTCCGCCAGTACTGCAATCTCAACAAACGGAGACTAAATTTGTGAGCAAGAATGTGTTGTAGGAGAGCCGATGACATAAAACCCGTGAGTCTCCGTTGAGATAAAGATTTTCCACCCCTAGGTATACTTTGCTTTTACTTCCCACGAATACTGACGGAGAAAATACTCATTGTAATCGCGAAACATTGCGGAAATTAGATATTATGTTTATTGGATTCCATGGTACATGACATGTACATCACGAAAAGCCATGCCACTCATTTCTGTCGGTCGGTCGGTCGGCTAATCTTATAACTGCCTAACTTTAGGAGTAGCACTCGGATTATATGAAATTTTACACTGTCAAGAACGCAAAAGCTTTGTAGTTTTTGATGAAAAAAAATTAAAATCGCTCAAGCTTAGTTTATGACGTTTCAAAGGATCCCGATCATTTTGGGAAAAAATTTTTTTAGGGGTTAAAAGTTGGGGGTTAGGAGTTTAAAATATCTCCTACAGTTGAGTGTCGATACGTGCGTTATCCACGCTGAAATCTTAAGCAAACTTCCATCATATGGCCTCCCAGAAAAGCTTTGCAGCTGCAGCTGCTGGAAAAAAGCTAGGCTATTTGTTTAGGGCTAAGAAGTACTTTTCTCAGTGTCGAGCTTCGTACATCCAGACCTGGCGGCTGTCACTCCGCTCCTTTGTCCCGAGAGTGTCGAGACTGTGGAACAATCTACAAGAGGAAGCTTTTCCCAGTTCTACTAACCTTAGGCAGTTCAAAAATCTTAACAAATTTTCTTTGGGATCATCATAGCAGCCGCGGTGTTCCGGCATTTAGGCTTCTGCCTGCGCGGCTGCTTCGATATAAAAAAATCGTTTCCCCGACGGACAAGCGTCGTGGTTGATGGTTGTACGTCACAGTCGGCAATCGCTTCCACACTACTGCGGCCTGCGTGCACCGTACATGGTGAAGGCCAATATCGTCATTTACGCGGGATTGGTCATCGCAACAATTCCTCTTAGGGGAGAAGGAAGGTCATTTAATGTCTCGTTATACATGTTCCTGGGTATTTTTTTTCAGAAGGGCTAACTTGTACCAATATAATCCTTTACCAACTGATCACAGTTTAGCGTGGGGAGTACAAAGTCAACTTACTTGACGCCATTTTTTGGTAAGCTTCAACCAATACGACGCCCTGAAACTGTGATTTTGAATTTAAAGTAGATTTAGGAAATATAAATAATATATATCTGAAAATTTATAATATACATACTATACAAGTTTCAACGTTACAAAATCGTGTATTCCATGGAACATATTTATTTTAAAATATAAAATTTTGCAATCTGTAATTTACAATGAAATGCATAAAGGACGCGTTATTTTCTTCATATCCCTCTAATTGATTGCAGGAGCAATGAATTGCAATTTGGGTAAATATTTCGAAACAATAAACATAACAGAGACGGAAGTACGGCGTAGCGTATTGTGTTTATATTTAAACAACAATGAAAATAAACAGGATAGTTCAGGAGACAACGGCATACAAACATTCTCGATACTTGCGGCTCTCTACTGGTCACTGACGTAGAAATATGTCAAGGTGACTACTCTAGTGACTACTAGTTGTTGAATTCAGCCGAAATTTTAATGTCAATTGACCGCCTTGAAGCTGCGATTGGAATCCATTGGGCTATTTTTGTGGGAAAGCGATCATCTATATCGGATATACGGTCTATCGAAGTGAAACAGCACAGAGCGCCATCTATCTGACCAGAATCGACCACTGTGGAAAGCACATACAGTACCGAGCAAAAGTGGAGAAACATTATTTTTTTTTAAGAATTTATTAAAATATTAAAGTAAACTAACCACTTATGTTTTATTATAACTTAATGTAACATGTAATTCAAAGCCAACATGAAAATAAAATTTCTGCTTTAATAAAACTATGCTAACAATTATTATTAGAAAATACAGCGAGCAAAAATAGAGAAACATAATATACAAAGCAATTGTCGTATACAAAGAAGCTAATACTTGGTTGCATAACCTTTATTTTTGATAACTGCTAGACATCTTTTTCTCATAGAACCAATTAGGCTATCTATATCTATAGAATTCCAGGCGACTTCGATTGTTTCAAATAGTTCGGCACTATTTTTTAACTTTTCTGGATGTTCAGTCCGAATTTTTGTATCAACTAAGTCCCATAGGTTCTCTATGGGGTTAAGATGTGGACTTTGAGCTGGCCTCTTAATGACATTGATATTGTGATCTGCAAAAAATGTTTTTAGTATTTGTCGTGCTGGAACAGCCAGCGTAGACGCGTAGAGGCATGTTTTCTTCTGCGTAAGGTAGCATGGTATCAGTTAATATTTCCAAGTATGTGTACCGGTCCATAATTCCTTCAATTTTGACGATGGGTCCCATTTGAAGACCGCAGAAGCAACCCCATCTTGAACCTTCCCGCCTCCGTGTTTGATTGTGCCCAAAGTGAACTTAGGATCAAATCGCTTGTTTTTAGGACGTCTTACCCATAAAATGCCATCTGATGAATTAAATTTACTTTCATCAGAAAATAATACAGAATTCCACCTAGTTTCTGACCAGTTCGAATGATCGTAAGCAAATTGAAGACGGGCGGTCCGATTTTTCTTGGAATTAACACGTTCAGTGCGAACAGCGTCAAAAGACGCCCTCCGCTCCTGTGGTGGGAGGCGAACGGCGTCTTTCGACGCTCTCTGCCGGCTTCCAAAAAAAGTATTTCAGTTTCTGAGGTGGGTATCCTCATCCCAGTTCGCAGTCAATGTGTTAAAGGGTTTTTTAGATGGTCTCCTTGCTGGTAAATCACTCTCCCTTAAACGTCTTCGATCAATGTGGACAGCAATATTTACTTCTTCAAGTTGAGCTTTTATATCAACAGCAGTAGTAAATGGATTTTAAGAGCAAGTGTTTTAATTTTCCTATCAATCCTAGGTGTGGTTTTTCGCGGTCTACCGGTCTTAGGAGGGCTTACCAACGATTTTCTTAGTCGGAACAGCCTAATAGTTTTGCAAATTACTGATCGGTTAAATTCAGCTGTTTGGCTATGGTTGCTTGTTTAATGTCTGATCGATATTTAAAATAATCAATTATTTTATTTGCAAATTCAATGTAATTCCTCTGGCCATGTTTATGAACCACACTTTACCAAATACACTAAAAAATAACAGCTATTCTAATCAACGACTAAATATAAACTAAATATTTACAAAATGTTTCTCTACTTTTGCTCGTTGAACAAAAACCGACCATATTATATTGAAAAAAAAAGAATGTATACAAAGATAAGTATTTCATTATCTTGAGGTAGTCATACATAAAAAACTTAGTGTACAGTTTTGGGTTAGAGTAAATCTTTCTGGATTTTTATTTTTAATATGGTTTGTTTCTCTACTTTTGCTCGGTACTGTAGCTGCTAGTAGTTGGAATTGTTAGAGATCTCAGTTCACGTTTAATAGCCCAGTCACCACGTGACCGATAGATGGCTGACGAGTCTGGCTGTATAGGACATATGGCCTACCTGCCATTGAATAAAACCAATTCAAAGTTTTATTCAATGGCAACTAAGTTAAAGTTTTATTCAATCGCAATTAAACCACATCTACTTTACAGCCAGAATCGTCAGCCATCTAGCAGCATGGTGACTGGGCTATTAAACGTAAACTGAGTTTCTTTTACAAATAGCAGCGATGCGCTTTCCGCAGTTGGCGATTCTGGCGATGGAGGTTTGCGCTGTCTTATTACTAGTAATTTAGCTTTCGTTCATCCGACCAACGACGGTCAACCATGGACAGCTGTTTAGTGCTATTTGGCAAGGTTTTTTTTCAATGGCGAGTAGATCGTATACTATAGCACCAGAATCGGCGGCATGTATTGGCCACAGCGTTGACCCGGCTGACAATGCGACCTGGGATACAGTCCCAGCAGACAGCTTGATGTTTTCACTTTTTCAGTGGTCGATTCTGGTAATAGATGGCACTGTGTGATGTCTTATTTTGATAAATGTTATGTGCTAAACCATCCAGCGGCAAGTGAAGCGTTGCGCCAAAATCTTAGCATTTGACCAATTCTCGCTCACGCAGATAATTTATTTCCTGGACTATAAATATGACCTTTTTCTATTTTTGAACAATTTGTCTCCCAGTATTGTGAACGTGGAGTTAGATCGTTTACATCAGAGTGCAAGCGCCGCTAAACTACTGCGTCACGCGAATTGTATGACAGCCAATTTTTCATCTCAAAATGAGACAATATGAAATGCGTAAAACAGTTTAATGACTGAGATTTAGGAATGGAAATATACCAAATTGTAATTATCTTTACTTGTAATAGACGAGGCGAAAACCTCGCATCCGACTCGTTTTTTATTTGTATGGTTGCCCCTTAACCATGGGGTTGCAGAGAGGTAACCCGGTGTAAATTTGAACATATGCTTAAACACTCCTTTTTAACAGGTTATAATTTTTGTGAAAAAAGCCAAAAACTATGTAAATAATTTTTTTTGTAGCAGTTGACATTCTGGGGGTTGTAGGGGATGTGGGAAGGTATATGTAATTTTTGATACTAGTATATTTATATTCTCCCAACCCCGGTAATTCTGTGCACCTGTTAGCCACATATCCAATATCACCGCCCGGTGAACCGGTCCGGCTGACTAATCTGTCCGTACTGCAGGGCAAAAAACATACACGGACCTCGCACGAAATGATCGCTGCAGCGATGCCGCGTTGGGCGCTGCCACGGAAATGTTAAAAGGGACAACGTTGCCAGATGGAAAGTAACTACCCAGTAGACAGAGAAGGAATACTATGCATTAATTCTGTTGTCTTTGTCTAACTTGATCGGTTTAATTTTGCTATTTTCCATGTTCGTTACTATCAAAGCAAAGCTTGTCTTTAACATCGTTGATACCTTCTGGTGTGTCTCAGGGTTCTATATTAGGACCTAAACTATTTTTAATATATACTTTTGGCTTAAACAAAACTGTTAATAACTCCCCTATTCAATCATTTGAAGATTAATGCCTAGTTTTAATGCATATGAGGTACCAAGTACAAAAAAAAATTACAAAGCGATGTTATCAATTTTGATACAATATTTTTATAATCACAATCTGAAAATAAATCCGGAAAAATCCAAATATTGTTCTGTACTGAAAAAAAAGAAAAAGGCTGCTTCATCTCGCTTAAAGATTGCTATAAATAATCAAGTTTAGAGTCTTTTGAGTCTGCAAAAATACTTGGAGTAGTTTTTGACACTAAAATGAGGTTTGTTGAACATGTGAAGAGTCTGTCTGGTAACGTACTCTTATAGGAAATAAATAATTACTGAATTTTAAACTATCGCATCTGTCCTAAATTACTGATATATCGTATATTTTCCGTCATTAGATTGCTTTATACCAAAAACTTTATCCAAATCATTCAAAATAATTCTGAACGGTTCATTTTGGATTACGAAAATTTTACCATGTCAATTGCCATTAGCAAATATTGAAGTGGATGAAATTTGCGAATTTATCAAACTACCACTATTTAATTTTCATACATAAATTGTTTGCACTCGTCAAAGCCCTTATATCTCAGAGAAAAAAATATTTTTAATAAGGATGTGCACAATAGACACAAAATTTTGAGTGTTCCACCGCATAACACAACATTATTTAAACGACGTTTCTCGTATAATTAGCTACCAGATATAATTCAATACCTAAAGTGTATAAGACATATTCTTTGTCAGCATTCCCCAAGAAATTAAGCTGTTTATATATTTACTATCCACTTAATTTTACCATTTATATATATATATATATATATATATATATATATATATGATGTATTATAATTCCTGATTTACTTATTTTCTGATTTTGATCTTGTCTGTCCTTTTAAGATAAGGCATACATTTCTGTGTTGTGTTACCAATGGCTAACTGATTGGTTAAGTGTAAGAGTAGCGAATGCTAAATTTCGCCTATCAGTGTTAATTTGTTTAATAAAGACGACTTTTATTGTTATTATTATTATTGGAAGTGCAGAGTTAACCTACTTGACGACTTATAAGGTATTTCGAACCTTAAAAATGGCCAATTTCATACCTTAATAACATGGTCAAAAATCGTTTCTGAGGTTGCCAGATGTCAATGTTGAAGTATTTTGCGCTTAAAGAAGTATTATTAAATTGAATTACTTATTTCAAAAGTTAATAAATCACACGATTTGACTTTTTCGTGACTCAATAAAAACTATCGCATGTTCACTTATGAACGAGTTTTAAAAGACTTTTTTGGGCTCAATATAGTGTTTCATTTTCAAAAGTTTGGCATATCGAATAACCTTCACGGTTTATCAATAATGTCACATGCTTTAGATTTGCGTCTTTTAATTCCTTTCTGTTGGGACACTCTGTATGTGAATAAGCGAAGTCATGCCATTAAATGATGTGGCCTTAGTAGTATAAAAATCAATATCTAACTGTATGAAAAAACCGTTATACAGTACTTTTTAAAAGTTCACTCACCTACTTATTTTTGAACTGGTCGGGTTAGTAAGCTGAAATCCAGAGCAATAAAATGTATGAATTTTTACGTAAAAGTGGCAGATGACAATTTTATGATGGGGGCTGGGAGAATTTTTAAATATTTGTTTCAAATGAAGCTCCTTATGAGTCCTTAATGACCCGAGAATATAAAATCACCATTTTTGAGAATAGCGAACTGGCAACAACCAATTATCAAAACATAGTAGTATTAATATCAATCTTTTTCTTTTTGAAGGATCTATCCGAATATCTAATAAAATATGAAGCATTCCACTTGAAAGAATCGTCAAAAATGCATTTTTTTAAATTGCATGTCTCGTATTTTGTTGCATATTCAGATAGATCCATCCGAAAGAAAAGAATTGATACGACCAGGTTTTGATGAATAGTTGTTGAGTAAAAAGCGATTCAATATGCAAAAACGCTCAACTTTGCTTCCCAGCCCGCCATTTTGAAAGTTAGCATTTTCAACTACTATTCTCACGTTAAAATGTAGTATTCATGCGTCAATTTCATCATCCCGAATTTCAGCTTGCTGATTTGAACTGTTCAGAAAATAAGGGAACCTTCCTGAAAAGCACTATATACATCGACCATTTTGACGGTTCACTTCTCAATCTAGGTATGTAATATACTATTTTCTTTCAGGATGTAGTTCATGGAGTGGCGTTTGCGATAAGCGGAGATGATGCGATGACCTACCTTTCAAAACGAGAGTGTAAATTGGGTTCGTACACGACGCAGTTTGCTACTTTCTATCCTGTTAAAGGTCAACCGTTCAAAGTATTAGCTTATGTCGCACAACCAGAGAACCCCTTGTGGTTGGGAGGTTAGTATTCATAAATTGAAGCACACCATTTTGATTTAACATATTCCACCAGAGAATACCCAGTCCAATTGAAAGCCATGTCTGCGCGTATGTCGGTTATGCTTAGAACTACGTATATACAATGATTTTTTAAAGAAGGTGCCTCGCCTAAGAGAGTGAATGGGCGTCTATATCCCAACTTTCTTTGCACTCTCACGAGCTCACTCTGAATCCCCAAGGCCAACACATAGCAGGAAGCTAAACGAGGTAATTATCTTTTGCATTTGGACATACACCTGATGGGGGGTATTTTTTACCTGCGGCTATCCTACTTAGGATCTTGTTTCTGAGCTAAGTGGCTACATGTTGAAACCTGCGAGGGCGGCACAAGGTTCTGTAGTTACTGAAGGGTGAGGGTCGCCCTCAAAGTCATCCCAGGTTTTCCAGAATAGACTCCCAGGTTGAGTGGTTGGGGGCGTTGTTCTGGGTACCAGGACATGAAGGGCACAAAGGAAATGAAAAGGTGGATGAGCTAACACGACAGGGTTCGGCCAATCGCCTTAATGGTCCCGAACCGTTCTACGGCGTGACGAGAACACGCACTAAACAGTCCATAAGAAATTGGACCAAGAAAAAGTCCCTAGAATGGTGGTCTCAATTAGAGCATTTACAGTAGATCTACTAGGATTTAATAGGAAGGCCATAAGGGTCATAGTGGGTCCCCTGACAGAACACTGACGTCTAAATCGAGATATGGAGTTCTCGGGTCTGGTCATGAGTAAACCCCAGTGCATCTCCTGTGTCAGTGTGAAGGCCTGGCAAGGCTACGTTTTCAGATAGTAGGAACCACAGGTCCAACAGCGGAAAGCTACATGCTAGGTCCTGTATCAAGGCTACGGAGCCCGTTTGAAGGCTCAAGGCTGGTCGCAGTGCTTTAGAAAGTTTTCTTTTATAAACTTGTAATCTAATCTTGAGTGGTTCGGGAACATTTTTGAAAAGCGTTTCATATGAAGACGATTTTAGATCTTTCTATACAATACTTCCAAGTGATATCTTTCTCCTTTTTTTCAGGTGCAGATGAAAAATCCATTGCCCAGCACATATTAGACTGCAGTGGTCCAAGTGGCCACAACGTGGAGTATTTGGTTAGACTGGCAGACTTCATGAGAGAACATTTTCCTGTACATTATGACGCACATTTATTCACGATAGAAAATGAAATTTTAGAATTAATCAGGAATAAAAAATTATGCTTGAAAAGCATGATGGGCAATGGAGAAGGTTGCATTAGACTTAAGCAGAAATCACCATGCTCGCCGTCTGACATGGTAGACGAACCTCAAAGGACTGATACCTTTTTATATTCAGTCAAGATACAAAAGAAAAAGCTGCGTTGCTTAAACCCCTAACGATGTTCGAACAGCTTACAGTACGAAAAATATGTCAAGGTCACTTATACCTTTTTGTTTTGAAAACAACTGGCAACGTGAAAATCGTCAAATATCTATCATGCTTGCTACAAGTTCCAAATTTTTGGCCAGCATATTTTTTTATTTTTCTTTAGTGAGAAACGTGCCGAACAATTTTATTTATTTTAAAATTCCCACTTTGAAATCCATTGGATGCCGATTTGTTTAGAAAAAATCGAGCAATAAAGGCCATTGAATAATTTTTGCGTTGTTTTTTCTTATCTCGCGGCTGGCAATGTTTGTGTTTTTCTTATTTTATTTTAATGTATGTTTTATGGCGCATACAATTGTGATACGAAAGACTCGATAGCGTAAGTACATCCATTAAAAAGCAGTATTTTGGTCAATCATAGTATTTTTGATTACAGTGTTTGAAACTAAATGCGAAAACAAAAATTGATAATCCTTGATATTGTATTGTAGATATCATAGAATATAAGGATTGGTGAAAAATAACACAGTCAAAAAGCGGTGTGTTCTTCCTATGTACGTGTTCACGTTGAACACGAATCTGAAGTCGAAATTGAGAGTCGGTGGACAACTAAGGAAGTAATTCAGGCATTAAGAACACACATTTTGGAATTTTTCGTCCACCAAAAATGCCAATTTTTGTAATTCTGCTGTCTAAATTACTTTCACATTGGTCCAGCTTTTCCCAATTTTGACTTCAAATTCGTAATCAGAGGGAAAACATGTATCGAAAAAATATTGGGAGGCATCACCACACACCACTATTCTTTTTGTGGACCTATGGGACCATTTTCTCTAAAATTTGTCCACCCACCCCCAATTTTAACTTCAAGTTCGCGTTCAGCATAAGGAAGAAAAACAGTCGGATCCAAAGCACATACCACCTTTTTATTTTGTAGGTCTGTGTAACTGACAAAAGATTAAACCTACGATTTGATAGTACATGGACCTCGTGAAGGAAAGTAATCATTTTCTAAATAATCTCATTTTCCATCCAACTTCGAGATCTAATATTTTGAAAACGTTGCTAATTAGTACGATATTTTTATTGAGTATTTTATGTCTTTGATGGCCCTAATGGGAGTAACAAATCTCTTTCCGCGAGAGAAAAAATCAGCTAAAAAGCTATTGAAAATTTAGACATTGTCCTTTTGTCAACTTTTATACTTTGTACATATATTTGTTATTTTGAGTAATATCTGACGTAAATGTGATCGTACATCTGCATATTGTAATTTTTATTGTGGATTCAGCTGTGATTTTTCATACGTGACTTTTAATAAATTATGTTTTTATTATATTTTCTACCTTTATTTGCGTATCCCATTGTCAAAAGTTGGTCAAAAAGTATTTTTTTATACACTGAAAAGAAGTGTATTAACTAACACATATTAAAAAGAGGTACAAGCCGGCCGAAGAGCCAATGTCATCACCACATTGCCTAGCGACCAGAAAACGTTCGCACAGGCTTCTACTGTAACTGTCGCTTAAGGAGGTCTGTTCGAATATTTGATTTAATATTTTTTTTAATTTTGATCAGAATTATTTATTTCAATTTTATTGCAACTTAGTGTTTTAATTTATTTTAGAATCACCTTTTATTTCCACCGATGGTGATAAAATCAACACATCCTGAGTTATTGTTATAATTTGCGACAGCGAGCGGTTGGAAAATATAACAAATACCATTACGCAATACAAATTATCACGCTCTGCGTGTACGCAGCTGAAAACCATTTCGAAGCATGACGACACTCCCCAATGGGCGCTAGATGGGTACTGACAAAAATCACCCATCTATGATCATGGAGGTGGAAACCTTGCCTTGGAATGTACCAGATGCGATGTTGCCAAGCGAATCAATGATGCAATGTTGCAGAATTTGTGGCGATCCTGACCTTTCATTTCAACCTGAAATGGAGTGCCGAGTGCCGTTAGGACAGACCTGGAATCAATCCTAAATATATTCGACACAATTCACAAATGTGTACCATCAAAATAAAACCAGTATTTGGGCGAAGAGAATATACTAACGCATATTTTCAACATGCATCTTTATACAATGAATTGGTGTAACTTGTTGGCAACGCGGGAAATTGCCGCATCAGCGTTGCTCGGCAACGCGCTGATGAGCTTCATTATCCAGCGGGCTTCTATCTCTTTCTAACATATGTGTCTATACACACTCCTCTTTCGTACGCATTGAACTCAAGCCGTCAGAAGTTCAGTTCTCAGTGTTTATTTATATACTTGTTTCTTCTCATTTTTCTTAACAAGTACTAACATTGTTGAGATTACTTATTCACGTTCTATCTATGTAGTCGCACTTCTTAGCAGCACTTTTTGAGAAAATATTCTTGAGTAGTTTAGTGCAATACTATAGTTTTGCTCAAACTGTTCTGGAGAGCAAAAGCAAGGTTGTGTTAATTACAGAAGCATAATTGAATTATTTATCTTTTATTAAAAGAAATATTAACAAAACCATAAAATATAACAAAACGGTGATAAACGTAAGTTATTTTATAGTAAATCGAAATCGCTTTATATTTTTCGCAAAGCTTATAAATCAGAATTTAATATACCAATAGCTATCCTAAAAACAACGACTGCTTAGAAAAATTATATATGTATCATATATGTTGTAATACTATGATTATTCATTTATATTTTACATGAATGAGTTTTTGAATGTAGATACGATGTTTCCACATTTTAAATTAGTTAACACGTATCTACACGATTTATATAAACTATTTTACGCAAAATATAAAAAAGCATGTATACAGTCATGTGCAAATTGTTCCATGTCCTTTGTGTTATGTTTTTGTGTTTTGTCAATAGGTATGATAGGTAATTCTTTCTTAAATTTACATTCATCTCTTTCATGAGCCTAAAAATATAGATAGTTCTGCATTTTACGTAGGAAAGCTTACAACAAATGTACATCTAGAATAATCGCGAAGATCAACTTAAGAATATATACAGATCCACAATTCTCTATATTTCCTATGAAATTATTATTATTTAAATACAACTCTCAGGTTTCATCCATAGCTACTGATTCAATCTATATATATTCTCTCTTCATTTTAAAGAGGTGCATAGGTCTCTAACACACAGCAATATGTATGTTTTGGAGGATTCTCATGCTGTATGCATGTCTTTTTTTATCCAAATGCAGTACTCTATAACAACAGACTCATACTCAACCATTATAGTTTCATTTGTCAAAAGGACAGTGCAAAATGACCTGTCTGATTCAAAATGTATATATATATATATATAGTATATATATTAAAGTAGATTTTCATATATCCTGAACATTTGTAGCAATGAACGCCTCTCTTAAGCTGTTTTGAAAATATCAAGTAGAAGTTAAGTTTTTCCACATTCATTCTCGTGATGGGAGAAAATTTCAGTTTTCTTTTATTCTAGGGTGCATGAAACATTTCAAGGAGTTGAAAGTGTATGATGTGAATAAGTGCAAAATTTCTACCAAGTCAATGATGTGTGAGAATGAAAAAGATTGTATTTTCAAAAATCGCTTCAGGAAAAGTCCTTAATCTTTCTAACAAACAAAATGTAGGAAAACATGTATATCTTATGTTAACATTTTGAGTCAGAAACGTCATTTTTCATTACTTCTACAACCATTTCAAATAAAATATTAACAAGATAAACTAAGGAAAGTTGAGGGCAGATAACAAAATTTTATATAGTAGCGATTGCCTGTATAAATATATTATCACTTTGCAGTTTGGTTACGGAAAGTGTTTAGTTTTGCATCTGTGTATTGGTTGGACGACCTTCTTCGTTCTTTCATCGAATTTGAATTACCGATAATGCAAAAATATTGGAGCAATGCATCAAATATTCGTTTTCTGTATTTTGAAACAACTTTTCAAAAAGCATCTCTTGAGTTAGCTGGAATCACCACCGAAAAATTTAACTCTATTTTTAGAGAAAAAAATAGCATTTTTGTGAAATGCCGTCTTAAGATTGAATTAGGGAAAATTAATCTTTTTCCACCTCTAATACCTAATAATTTGCATATCGATAGTTTAGAGCAGTTTTCCAGCAAGACGAGTCGTGAGAATCGAATTTGAAGCACCCGTTAAATTACTCATCCCCCATAGAACCGTTCTAAAATTCAGCTGAAAGACTAAAGATCAGGTTGACCAACTATCGTAAGCAAACCAGCGAATAAGGCAATGTTCTTCAGATATTCAGCTATATATTTACACAACACTAAATTCCCTAAAGTATTAAACATCAACAACCGTATATTATTGCCCTTTTTATTCATATAATTTATTATTTCGCATCGATGTAAATATATATATTTAGCACTTTATGCACATTTTTCTGGAAAGGCATTATGGAAGAACAGTGCTCAACATATGACAGCCGATGAGCAGATGTTTTGGAATAAAGAGAAATTGGTTCATTAATATATAACTGGTTTAACGCTCCTTCCGGTGAATGTGAATTTAGTAACATACTTTATTACTGATATACAGGATGTTACAAATATGGGCAAACCTTCGGATTCATGTATGTAATTTTCTTAATAACCTGAGAAATCAAGCTCAAGTTAAGTATCAGATATTAGCAATGTAAATCAAGTCAAGTAGTTCTTACGTCAAGTACTTGAAAATTCAAGTAGCCTTGATATTATTAGATTATTTTTGTAATATAAATACAAGTAGATTATAAATACACAACAGAAAGACTTTGTGACAAGTTACAGAGAAAACAACATGTTGAACAAAATATTTTGTTTATCGTATAACAAATAAAATTGTAAACTAAAATAGAAAAAACTAAAACTTCATCAGCTAATACAACAAAAAAAAAAATGTGAATTAGCTTCTCATTCGCTAAAAAGGAGTTATTTATGGCACCAGGACTTTCATCCCATCAGCCAGATCCAATGTTTTATTTAAATTTCTAAACAATCCACATGACACCACAACATCGAAGGCGAGATTCGAACTCGCGGCCCGACTAACCAGGAGTTAAGACTCGTGAGGGTCCTAAATGATTGTTGCTAAATCTGTTGCGGTATTCCATAATGGTCAGTGTAGCCGTAGAAAATTCCCTTTCACTGGACGCTGATGTTGATATCGGTTGTACAAATAAATATCACTTTAAGAAAAAAATATAATTTGTCATCAAACACTAAGTAGTTTGAAAATGATTGACCTCAAGTCAAGTAGACCAATGAAAAACCAAGTCAAGTCAAGTATTAACGTTTCAAGTAATTCAAGTCAAGTAGTTTCTACAAATATCAAGCTACTGACTTGATGAATCCCTAACCAGCCCTGTATGATACGTAGAATAATTTCAGTTTATGATTTTCACATCTGGCGACTGTTTTTTTTAAGTATTTGTCAAATACAAGTATGCTGGAAACATCATCATCGTGAAAGTCGAATATTTAGCAGTGAAAGAAATCCAGTTATACCTCGCTTGAGAAGGCCAGAGTATATCCGTCGGCGTTACGCGTCCAATAATGGCTCACTTCCCAAACTTGATACGGCATGTATTATTTTTTGTTCTGTTAATTATTAACGTATTTTACCTGAAGATAGCCAACTGTACTTCGGCGTCCAAAAAATTATCCGAGGTGCAATGAGATACCCTGGCGTCATCTATGTGAATTTGTCACAGCTATGTTTCTACTCCTCGTAATTCGAAATATACCTTGAAAAGTTTAGAGTCTCATAGATGGCACTGTAGCCAACTATGAGACACCTGTTTGAAGTAGATTCCCCAATATTACCGAGGAAGAAACATAGCTACGACAAATTCTTATAGATTACGCCAGGATATCTCATTTCATCTCGGATAACTTTTTGGAGGCCGGTTGACTATTTCCAGGTAAAAAACGTTAATCATTGGTCCTACATAAATCCGAGAACTTGCCCAACAATTTTAGAACACCAAATATCTACAGATATGATTATATACAAGTCATTGCCAGAGAGATGTTGGAACACACCAACAAAACAAGATTCGTGAAAGTGGCATGTTGGTAGCGGATTTTTAGCGTGATTTAACGTTTCTTTATTTCTTGAAACTTGCGATGATTACATTGCGACTTCCTGCCTTCTACTGCTTGGGAATAGCAGCAGATTGAGCAGAAACTCGCATGCAATGGTTGGAGAAGCAAAAGCTATTGTGCTATATAAAGTGGCTTTTCACGTGACAAAGTCGGAAACAACATATTTTTATTTTCCTACCCATACCCAGTATATTGGTAAAACTGAATTACAAGATATTTCTTGCAGCACATTTTTATAATATTTAGTTACGTTTAACAGTACGAGGTGTGGCAGAAAAGTAATGAAACTAGCAGCAGCAATCTGGTAACGCTGCGCTGTTCTCCTACATAGGTCACATGTCTCAGTAGCTTTCCTTGACGCATTTAAAGTTTCAACTTCGTTCGGTAATTTTTTGAAGTGCTGTTAGTGAAGTTGTGTTTTGATTGTGTGTCACTCAAAATAGAACAGCGGAATATGTGTATACATTGTGTCATTGAATTGTGTTAGGCTTGGAAAATCTGATAGTGTGACCTTTGAAAAGGTATGGTATCAAGACTGGAAACAAAGTCTCTATCGGTCTGCAGCTGCCCAACTCAACTACTTTGGAAAGGATAATAAAAAATCAGTCTCATTACTTTTCCACACCTCCTATTTTTTATTGACTATGTGACGTTTTTTTAAAACTCATCTAGCTTAATAAACAGGAATGGAATATTTAATTACTGAAATCGTAAGCTTCTGTTATCAAAAATGCTTCGAGCTCTTTAGATACATTTAAAGATCATGTAACCATTTTCTTTCTATTTTTGACTTCGGAAATAATAGGAGCAGTTTGATTTCTTGAATGGTATGTGTTAGTTTTACCATACCTAACGATGATCCTTGCAGCAGAAGTACTCGGAATGAGATCTGATTTCTCTGTAGATTTACAAATCTCATTTGAAGCAAATGATAAGATATACTCTAGGCTCGGCCGTCGTAAGCTATGAAGAAGCCCCTGGGTACACAGGGAGCTGGGAGCCTGCGGATGAAGGGGCCCCTGGGGCCTTATTTTGCCTTTGTGGTAAATTGAAGAGAGAGTTGGAGGTACTCAGACTTTGATTGTTGAGCATTTTGGGGGGGCCATCAAGCCAGGGTCCTCGGCCTGGGCCCAGTGGGCTCATAGGTAGACGGATTAGGCTCTAGGTCAGCACTAGTTAACTGTGTTTATAATTTCATAAACGTGCCTATGTGATTATGTACTCCAAAAGCATCGAGGTTAATGGTAAAGTTCTATGAACTTATTTGTCAAACATCTGTTGCGGTTAGAAAATGAGAGAAACCTAAACACTTTCCGCATTTCATATTTATATAAAATCTTTAACAATAATATACTAATAATTAATTTAACGAAATAATATAACAGATCTCATAACGCAGAACTACAGCGTCAGTTGTATTTCTCGTTACTTAAATTTTTTGCAGTGGTATTCGCAATACTTTCTCAAACTTATCCGAAATGACAATGATCACAGAAAATCTGGCTATATATTGAGTGTAGATAGACTAGGATAAAGTACGTGCTATAAAAATGAAAAATGTAATGAACCCTCAGTCAGTACACACGAAAAAAGTGATTGTCAAATCGAAGAAAATATGTTTCTTGGTATCAGATTCAGGAACCTTATAGTCAGGTATCAAAATGGAAGATAGTTGCATAACTATACCGTGCTAAGCGCCGGTACACACGAGCGTTATTGGCGCGCGTTTTTATGCCACCCATCAACATGACACGCGTGCACAGATTATACAGATGCAAAGCTACTGTCGGTTCCCAGGGGTACTCGCTTCATTACTCTGACGTCACGAATGTCATACGTCAAACTACAGAATCACAAAATTTATATTTGCTCATATTTTGTAGAGCTTTTTATGTTGAATATAACCATCAACAACAGTAGAAGTAAGTAAATCCAATATCCTAAATGTCACAGCAACACATAGGACGCAAGTTGGCGTTAATGACAAGCGTTGACAAGCTGTCGTCAATGGTAGTACTCTGTGCACTCGTGATAGTACAGTTAACGAATGGGCGATTATGGAAAAAAAAACTAACAATTGGTTTATATCTGCGGGACAAGGATACACTGTAATCACTTTTCATATATGTCTGATGCTAGGGTTCTTCACTTGCAAATTGTGAGATATGCGAGCGTTATAAAAATACTTGAAGCTCGTGCCTTACACCACCAGAATGCATGAGAGATGAAAAAGTACCACGTATACCTGGACACACATACACACTAATAATATAAATTTATATCCATATTGTATGAGGCATAAAAAATTTATTTGCATTTCCCATTCGCCCCTTCCCCATTTTAGCGTTCCATGTAGCATGTGAAGATAGCTTGAATATCAGCAATTGAAGAAAGCACCATTATGATTATAAACTTTTGTGACTTTACAGAAATTATCACACGCGTCTTATTAAATAAAGTTGCTTATAAATTCACGAACTACGTTGTGCTTCCATTATCTGTAGTATTTGTGCTTCACAGCGTTTCGATCGATGTTGAGAAGCTACAATTTTCATCTGGTGAACAGGCTTTTTTCAGATTTATTAGGATGGGAAAAATAATGTGACACGATCCAATAAAAAATCGTATATGTTTTCCGCAGGTACGAAAGAAAGCCACTGGGAAAATGACTAACTTTACTACCGCTAAATAAAACACATTTTATCGCTAGTCCTAGTACAGAATAGGTGTTGTGCTCATATTCATTGAATCGCTCATTTCAAAAACCCCTGGAAGTCTAACATGCATTTTTAATGATATCGAATCATTGAAGGTTGATGCTTATTCTGAGTATACACTTCCTAAGACAATAATATCGCGTAATCGACGTTTATTGCATAAACATGATAAGACCTGGATTCTCAAAAACAATACCAGGGTCTTTTATGTTTTGTTTTCATATATTACCAAAATACCAAATTTGAATTCACTAACTACAAAAATAAGGTTTTGGGCAAGCATAGTATCAAATTTGCCTTATCCACTCACTTATCTACTCAATCAATCCTCATTTGTATGAACGCTAAATATTTAAAAATAGCTGTCGGTATAGATAGTGTAAATATGAAATTACCCGCGATTGATGGAGTTTTGTCCAGCGATTCAATGATGACCTTGGATTTGACCTTGTCTATGATGTTCAAGGCCATTTCAAGTCGATTTTCTTAAATGGAAACCTCCATCTTTGACACAGTAAATGACAAGAGCGGATAATTTTACGTTCAAATATGGTCTTGACTATTCTTAAATTTTGACGCCAGATACCCAATGATGACCTTGGATGTGACCTTAACCATGAGTCGATTTTTGAAGTCAGGAAACAATTCTGAAAGAACAGTCAAGTCAGTGTATCTGGTGATTATACAATTTTCTGAATTATCACGAAATTAGGGTAAACATGTGTTTGATCTTGATGTTCAAGTCCAAGGTCGAGTTCCAAAAATGGTCAAGGACATATTCGAACAATAGTTTCCCTTTTCGCCATTTCAAAATTGATCTTCAAATGACCTTGATGGTCATGGCCAAGGTCATATCCATGGTCATAATTGGATATCGGAGGAAAAATCATGGAAGTAATGACTCGGTAGTTTCTCTCTACGACTACTGGCTTTCAAATTATATCACCGTACCCGGGTTTGACCTTGAACATGACCGCACAAGGTCAAAATTTGAGAACGGTCAAGAATATTTGAACGTAAAATTTTCTGCTATTTTTTTCAACATTATTAGTTCACAACTTATCGTGGAATTTCGCAACTTTTCGGGCACCCTGACCTATTTCCTGCTAAAACAACGTAACTCCAGAACAGTTTTTCGGACTTTTTCTATTATTATTATTAAACTGTTGAGGTTATTCGAGATTTTGATCCTATAAAATTTAAATACAACAAAGTACTTCAAAACTGTTTTTTTGTCAATGACAATTTTTAGTGCTTTATGAGGTTTTTTCAATGACCGATTGAATTCCAGTTTTATACCGTTTACCATAACCTAATAGGGCAAAGTGGATACCATATTCACATGTATCGTTATTTTTGTTGTTTGTGAATTCAAAATTGTTTTCTTGTTGCAAATAGGATATAAAGATGGAAAAAAATCAAGTATCCTCGTGGGAAAACCGCAATTAATTTGTGCAAAACTGTGAATTGATAAACTCAACCAAGGTAATGTATGCTCTCAGTGATGTCATGAACAATTTCCAGAATTTGTCCGTGGTCATTCTGTTTGGTTTATCTATTTTGTATGAAATTATGTTCGTAATCATTCATGATATGTATTCTTCACTTCACAATTATTGTTCATTTTTCAAGATGGATGGATTGATAATCATTTAAGACGATTTCCTCAATTCTATATTACAATTAGCATTCCTGTAATAACAGCAGGAAGCTTAATGTACTCACTTTACCCGGGTCTCACCTAAATTTTCAAAGAAGAAACGTTGTCACATTATTTTTTATTATGAATCCAAGAGATTGGCTACATATTCTGGAACACCTTGTATAAGCAGGTATGAGCGTTGTGAAGTGCACTCTACAGATAATAGAAGACCAACGCACAGCAAAGCAGTATTCGAATCTATCAAATGTTATTTATATTAATACCACATTGAATATACAATAAATACATTAATATAGCGTGCTTAGAGATATGTTGTTCTCAATATCCTCACGAATTTGTTATGCAAGTGATTGGTAACTCAATTTTTTACAGAATAAAGGGGTGAACTCTGATCCTTTATGCCTGTTAATTTCCTACCGCTCTAAATATACAATTCATGTAGAAACTGCCTCTTTTTCGAAACCTGTCGAAAATAATTGAATATTTGATTTCAACTAAGGCATGAAACATCTCAATTTCCCATATTGTGAAAGAATAAGAGATAAGAAGGTGAAGTATAGAAAGTTCATGAAATCCTTGATATATTCTCAGCTAATATCCAATCCTAGGTTTTATCGTTTCATTTTCCATTTTTTCGACAACTGGAGCTTCAATTTGCTGATACATCACTTAGAAAATCATTGTAGCAGCTTAGCACAGTAATCACAATCTTACAAAGAAATATAGTTAAAACCATAAGACGCGTGTTATATAACTTTAGTCAGAAGTTGTATTGTTGAAAAATGCACTTTTTTGATACTACGCTTATGTATTCGTGCAATTGCTAATGAAAAAACAAAATGTATATATATAAAAGTTGTCAAAAATATGCACCTTTATGCTGTGTCAAGGTGAATTATCAACTTTCGAACAATTACTTCTTTAATATATCAACAACACTGGTTGACCGACGACATCGGTTTTGGGAGCACTTTGGGAACAATTGCTTCCAACTGCCTAAAAAGTATTAGGTGAACTGAATTCCAATTTTCTGCCTTGATACAGTTCCTGTTCAAAAGCTGACTAATTCATTACAATAAACGCATATTATAAATATGACTTTAAAAATTGTAGTATGGATCAAATTTCATGGTTCACATGAAATGTGTAAAGTTCAAAGTACTTTATTTCTTTTGGTTATTAAGTCATACGTAACTTAGTGGCTAGTTTTAGGATACCAAAGTTCCAATAAAAAGGTATCACTGATAATTGAAAAAACAATGAACCAACTTCTTCCTGTGTGACATTCAGATGAAAGAAAGACACTAGAGTCCTATCAAAGTTAAATACATAGAGAGGTCCATTTATCTTAAGACAACCTGGTGCATTTTTTAGATGCTTAGTTCTTTATGGCAAAAAATATGAAGTTCAAAGAGGCTCAACTATTGCTGACCTTGGTCACGACCTTTACCAAGGTTAATCCTAGAAATTTGAATAATGGAATCTGGTTGTCTGATATGAATTTGTTTGAGATTAATTCAAGACGCAAAGGTTGTAATTTATCAAGTGTCGTTAGATGTTGAGCTTGAATATGCATTTAAGACCATTGGAGGTCAATTAAGACACTCGCATGAAATGCCATACTTTTGACCTCGATCATCTCTAGATTTTCGCTGTTAAAATAGTGTCTAATGAATTTTTCAATTCAATAACAAATGACCTTGAATATCAAGGTCAAGCACAATGCCACGTTACGTTGTCTCAGAGCAAATAAACCACCTGGTAGTTTTATAAACTTTGAAAATAACAAAAATATTTGATTAACCTATATTAAATCATAAACTATAGATCTTAACGAAATATCAAGTTGATTTGAAATCAATAATCTCTGAAGGTTCGATTTATAGATACTCTGGTATACGTAAAATTAACCACTAGTAACAAACAGATAACATCAGATTGTGATAAGCTCACAATGCTGACATTCAACGAAAATTCGAATAGTTTAAAAAAAATAACATATCAACTGGTGAACTATGTGTTTCTATTGTCAGATAACGTAAACACCCTAAGTAGAGTAAGTGCTGGGACACTAACTCCATTTGGTGTCATTTTATATTCAACTAGATCACATAGTTACTGGTCATACAACTATTACCTACAGATGATTTTACCACAGTCAATAGTTATAGTCAATAGTAATATGAACAGCGGAACAGTTGACTCGAAAAACGATACTCTCTCCATCAAACTACACTGCACAGACTTCACGTATTGTTATTGTCTCGAACACATTCGGTTTTCGGACACTTATGCGAAAAATATATTTTGGAACTTCAGCCCTCGATTTTTTTGTACTGGCTGATACAAGACGGCGAGCCGCCATTATAACTTTTCTATTTTTTGATACATCCTAGTGAAAGCAGCATGAGCAAAAATAAATTATCTCTGGCACGCTAACCAATTTCACTAAATCATATGAAATTTTAAAGGTCCTTTCATTCAAAATAAGAAATGCGATTCCGATGTGTCCGATTGTCTGCTACCGCTAAAGTATTTGCTCTTAATGCATCTATTTCTCCATCAAATTGTAATATTGCTTTTATTACTTGATTACGAGTAGTTTCTTTTTTAAAATGTAACTTTGATTTTCTAAGTACACCGCTGATCTTTCATGAAAATTGGATACTGTCGATACATGTATGTTGTGCCCTTTCAGAAAAACGGCACAAAATACTTTTTGTGCACCGTGGTAAATGCACCAGGTAAATATCCGAAGCTTCGTTAATTTTTGTTTGAAGCGTCAATATAAGAAAATCTTGATGCATATTATTAAATTCTATATTCAATCTTCTCCATCATTTGAGCTGTCTTAAAAACCAAAATTCAAATTGTCATTAATTACCATGGATACAGGCCGTCATTGGGAACTGACAGTCGATTCAGTATCTTTGTTCTGGCTATTGGTTAGTGTAGGTACCAGAATGCCCATATGTCTTTGGTCTAAGTCCGATTTTCTGACGTAAAAAGTTATGTGTGGCACACTTCCTTGTATCAGCCGGTATACTCGGAACTTAGCGTATCTTTGAATTGTTATTCTGCACTAGATTAATTTTTAATTCAAAAACAATGGCTAAACATTTTGCATATACCTTAGTAATGTTGTGTAAAATAGAGGGGTCAAATTGCCACAAAAAGCACATAGTATGAAATTGTTGCAAGTCACAATAACAAGAGGTTTTCCTATTTTTTCGAACATTTTGATTTTTAATATCTTGAGATTCGTGGGATTTCGAATGAAATTATAGGAAAGAAATTGCTTCCGAGTCGATGTGCTATCGAAGCGAAAAAACAAAGTCTTATTTAAGTCACTATGGTATTGTATGGTAATGATATAGAAAATTCTCTACAACAATTAATTGCCTTGTGCTTTTCCAACGTAAGTTAGCCCTCTACTATATATATTTTCTTGACATTTGACCCTATTCAAAGGCAGTTAGATATTTTTAACTATATAGCGTATATTTTATAATATACCATACTTGGAGCATAAATCAGATATTTTGCCATAAACTTCTGGCAAGTGTTCCGCAATCTTGGATTAAGAAACGAAATCTTATGTAACGATAAACAACCGTATATTTAATTGCTGCTTCTAGAGGTTGAGTCGATAGGACCACCCAAAATTTTAAACAACCAGATCGTGAAGATATTATTGACATTTTCTCTGAAAGTCACCATATGGACTCCATTATTTACAAAAAATGTCAAGATGTGCATTCATAACAGACAGGTAATACTGACTATTGAGTGCAGTGTTGACTAACCTACGGATTTTTCGGTATTCCTACCGAAATGGTACCTTATTTTCCGAAATCCCGAAAAAGTCCTCATTTTCCACGATTTTTCAAAATAATTCACGTTTCCAGATTTTTTACCCAAAAAGAGCTGGAACCAAAAACAAAGCTAAAAAAATGAATTACATGTAGTTTTATGTCCCATACTAATCATATATATGTATGTGTACACTTAGATACGAGGAACGTAGATTATATATAATTACGAGCGCACATCGCTTACTCCGCTTTCGCTGTATCGGTTTCTGTGAGTACAACACGTGCATACTGATGGTAAAACCAAAGATGGTATGTTTTGAAATAAATATTAAATACAAATGCCAGGTAATCAAGCTTCAAGTTCAGGGGTAAAACGGAAAAACCTTATAACCAAGAATGGAGAAAGAAGTTTCCAGGATGGTTGTAAAGGAGCGACCAATATGCTCATTGTCTAAGTTGTAATAAAAAAACGTATATTTTTTCAGGAAAAGATGGACTCAAATACCTGTTGTGTATGCACGCGCAAAATAAAAATATACTTTTTTTCATAACCAGCGCTGTATGACGCAAAGGAGACCGCTATTCTTACGATGGCCTTAATTTTTTTCTCCTACCGATTTTGTCCTTGAATCTACCGAATTTCAACGGCACTATCTACCAATTTCATGTTTTTCGGTACGGCAACACTACTCAAGTGTCACAAACAGTAATATAACTGCAGTCTGGGCGAATGATCATTTACAACGAAGACGAATATCACAGCTGGTATACCAGCAAAAAGAAAAACTAGAATTTTGGGTCCAGAACTCCTGAACGTTCTACCCATCGTAGCCTGCTTGCGACTGGACATTGTCAGCTAAGCAAGTATCTCAAGAGTATGAAATAAAGGTGCAGAGCTTTTATGCTAGCCGTGGAACAGATTTGACAGTTCGCAAGATTTAATGAACAAACTATCAAATTGATAGCCAAGTGAAAACTGATGTCAGAGTGTCATGGCTAATGCTCGGTTTGCTTTGAAATAAGACGCCCAATAACACGTCGTTGGATAGGGAAAGTGAATAGAGGGATGAAACCGTTAAGCACTTGATTTGCAACTGCCCAGTTGCACTAACAATATGAGAAGCCATTCTGGGCGAACGTTAGCCGTTTCATAGCTAATATATAAAGGAAACTTCACTGGGTCGTATCCCTACCTCTTTCGATAGTTAAAAGCAGCTAATGAAGAATCCTTTGGAGGACCTCCTAAGGGTCCAAGAGAGTTGCTTAAAATTGACTTAAATTTATTTCTAGCCTCCATCAACAATTTTTTTTTATTAAAAATTGTAGCCAGTTTTCAATTCGGAGAAATTATTTCTGTGGTCAAAAATCATAATACACAGTTGTTATTTGTGGCTTCATTAATTGATCCAAAACAGTAGACTATCTGCAGAAGGTTGGTTGTCAAATATCGAGACTTAAGCTCCCTATGAGTAAGGTTACGATAAGTATACTAAGTTAGTGCAGAATCTATCAAACAAAAATACGCATAAATTGTATATTAGCTGACGAAGGCATAATTAAAGCTCCACGGTAACGTAACACAAACGCGATATGTGATAGACCAGTTCGATGGAAGTAACGATGAGTTGTTTTGGAGAAGGCTGAATAAGTGTCGAGAATAACAAACGTGTCGAATAGCCTTGGGCATGCTTGGTAAGCATAGCCTTGGGTTGGCTATGGTGTTGTTGGGGAGGGGCGGGGCCTGTCTCATACATCAGCTGATCGAGAGCTTATACTGGGCGTTCGGCTGTGGATCACCACCTGTAAACAAAAACACCATGGATAATTCAAATACAACCCAACCTTCGATTTCCACATTTCACCAGAAGCAGTGATACGCTATCTAGTTCATTGTTCATTTCGATGAACTAGTTCAATAGCGTTCACGTTCGCGTTCACTAAAACGAACTAGTCCCAGGAACTCGTTTTGTTGTTTTTTTTTTGTTTGTTAAAGTGGGTAGCTATGACAAATGCACGTTTCTAACAATTTCAAATAATGTGCGATACACATTAGTTTATTTTCACCAGTTCAGAATATTTTTAATAAATAATACCTTTGATTACAGTTACGAGATGTTCTCCTGTAGGGCAAAAATCAATCCCAGCTTATTTGAAATGGCGAAAAAACTTTTGTGTCTTATAGCCACATCTGTGCCATGTGAGCGGCTTTTTTCGAAGGCTGGCCAAGTCTCATGAGAAGAAATAGACTAAAGGTCTTCAATTTGACATTTATAGTTAATTTACATATACATTTTAGTATTGTTCTTCAATGGGTTGTTTCAAAAATAAGGTACCTACATTTTTTTCAGACACAAGGAATATTTTATTTGGTGCTTTCAAGGCTGTAAGGGGGATGGGTAATGACTTTCCAGCCAAATCGCATTAAGTCCTTCGTTTATTGTGAGACATGAGGAAGCGCATTGTTGTGGTCTCAGCTTTTTCATAAGCCTCAGGAATCTTCTTCCCCGGAGATCGACGGCCTCCTGCTTCGTCGTTCATCGTGAATGTCAGTAGCAGCCAGTTATTCAATCTTCTGCTTAGTTGGTTGCCTACAGTGGTGTTTTCTATCTTGTATACTGAGTGACAAAAAAATGTAAGCACCTACGTATGTTTATTAGAATTCAAGATTTTTTTACATATCGATTTATCTTGCCACGAACAACAAAAGATAAAATGGTCAGGTTTTTCTGTTAAGTGTAAGAAATCGTGGATGCTCAACACATTATTGAACCAGCTTCTGCAGTCAGTTGACGAATCAAGTTGAAAATTTAATCATTTTACTGGTAAGGGACACTGAACATATATGCCAAAAATTATTAAAATCGGATAAACATACGTAGGTGTTTACCTGTTTTTGTCACTCAGGATTATCTTGTTCTCGATCGTTCACTCATAATCAGTTCGCTTGGATCATCGGGATATGGTAACACCAGTCGTTCGGGGTAAACGAGTTTTTCGATGCATGATGAACTAGTTCACTTAGTTCAGTTATAAGAAGCGTTCGTTTGAACTAGTTTGTTCGTGAACTACACATCACTACAGAACACTTCAGATTGTGGATTTTGACCCAGAATACCTGAGTTGTGCATTATGTGTGCTATGGTATGAATTTGTAAATGTATTCCGAGAAGTCAAACTGTTTGTTTTTTGGTTACCGTGTTGATATCGCTTGTTGTTATTAGTTGAAATAATCCCCCGGAGTCAAATAATGATATAGTAGATAGCAGAGATATTGTACCTGTTTATAATTTTTGCGAACTGGAGAGACGTAAAAATGCCATAAAACTGGAAAGCTGTGGCTTAATGATAGGGTCCAAAAATCTGCTCGGGCACCTAATCATGAGAAGGAATGACCTTTGTTCTAGGAATATTGTTATTCACCAGTTCCCTACACAGTTTATATTAAAATCGTCCACCAACCTGGATCGCCTGTATAGCACTAAGGATTATGCCCTAATAAGGTATTTCACTCAATTCCTCACTTCTTGATACCCTAATTACCACCCTGGATGCCGTGCCTTTACCTGCTACCTGTCTAAGATGGTTGCTGGGACTGCGGGAGGTGGACAGATTAGGAGGTCTTTAATTAAGTGAGGAGACTGAATTTTTTTAATTGCGGCGTGTTTTACAAAAAGTCCAAATTTAACGAAATTGAGTGAGTGACTAGTACAAAAAATGATGTTTTTGATTACTTGACACACATTTTTTTGTGAAGAGCATATTATGAATAGTAATTAACATCGCCTTGAAGGCGATAGAACAGAAGTTTGGTGATAAATATACATTAATCAATGGTGACCTTGAAGTTCTAGCGTTGATTAACTTATTCTACCTCAAGATAGGCAACAATGTAGTGTATTTCTGCTCTATTATCTGAGATGAAATGAGATACCGTAGCGTCATCTACACTGAGAACCAAATTAGTCTGACAGCTTGAGTTCAGTGTGTACGAGAGAGAAATGTGTATAGGCACATATGTTAAACAGAGATAGAAGCCGGCTGGATAGCAAAGCTCATCACCGCGTTGTCTAGCAACGCTGACGCGGCAGTTTGCTGCGTTACGAAGATGTTACACCAGTTCCTTGAATTGAGATGCATATTGAAGATATGCGATAGTTTCTTCTTTATGCCAAAATAATGGTTTTATTTTGAGCGTACACATTTTTGAATTGCGTCGAATCTGTTTAGGATTGGATCGGTCTTAACGGCGCTCGATTTTAGGTCAAAATGACAAGTCTGGATCGCCACAAATTCTGCATCATTGGTTCGCTTAGCAACACCGCATCTCATACATTCCAATGCAAGGTTTCCATCTCCATGATTATCGATGAGCCATTTTGGTAAGTAGCCATCTGTTGATTTCATCATCATCGGTGGAAATCAAAGATGATTCTAAAATGAGTTAAAACACTAAGTTGCATCAAAATTGAATCAAATGATTCTAATCAAAATGAAAACAAAATATTAAATTAAATGTTCGAACAGAACTCTTTCTTGGGTTTGACAGCAATCTAACATATTGGAGGAGCCTGTGCGAACATTTTCTGGTGTAACATATTGGCTTCGAGGTAGACTGCATGACTTTCTGCGTCCCCGTCGCTAGGCAATATGACCTTCACTCTTCAGCCGGCTTCTATCTCTTTCTAACATGTGTTAATAAACACTTCTCAGCCTTCTCTCTCGTACACATTTTACTCAAACCGTCAGACAAATTCAGTTTTACCTGTATAAGAATTTAGCAGAGCTACGGTTTTTCCTCTCTATACTAATAATTAGAAATCTACTTTAAAAAGCTTAGTGTCTTATAGATGGCGCTGAGCCGACTAAATGAGCATTAGGGTAAAATACGATAATAATCAATGGCAGGAGTTGCGTCCACACAGTGGTAGTTACGTGTTATGGACCAATACGTTTAAATGTTCACTATTTGGTGTATTGCATAATCTTACCTTATGGCCGTTTCTTTCTGCTAGGACGGCCGTCTGTCGCGCTTCTGGCCCGTCACCGTCACCTTCACCATCCCCATCATTTTCGTCGTCCGCCTCTCCATCGTCCGACTGATCGGTGGCGCCCTCTCTGTTCTTCCGATGCTTCCTCCATGCATTCTGGATCAACCGGGCACAGTATTCCTCACGTTGTCTCCACAGGGTGGAACTCACCTGAAAATATTCACACATGATCAGCTGTCAAAATTTTGTGCGGATAGTGGAGAAAACTGCCCTAAATCGAACCACTAGTCTCACTGGATCTGTATTCGCGCATGCACAGCTCACGAGTGGAGTGTGGACTGAAACGTGAACCAGTCAGGATCGTGGACTGTTCACACGCTCACGATTCAATGCATTCTTTGAAGTCGACCAGTATTGTACAAGTAGACTGGAAAGAGGAGGGCAAACTGACCAAGACGAGAATTCGTATGAAGCCAATGCTGTCGGTTAGGAGGGCGTGGCTCTCGAAAGTGTACTGCATGTGAAAGTTCTGCTTACAAGTCGTCTGAACTTTCAAAACTAGAGTTGTTAACGTTGTCCGTTAATGATAAAAAGCAACAGAAAGATGCCGACATGAGAAAATGCGGCATGCGCAGAACCTGGGATACATTTCTGACGCAATGGGCCTTTTGGCTTCTCACCCCTTTATGAGTTTACCTTCCTTTCTCGACTACGTGTACATCACGCCTCGACTGGCGTGTATACGCCTGAAAATCAAACGTGTCTGACACCAAGCGTCAGCGGCTATGGACTTTTCTCTCCCGATGACGTCATAAGCAAACTCATCACACCTCGTTCAGAGCGAGACCATAAAATGAGACCTGTTTTTGGGTACTCTCTTTTACCAAAGTATCAGTTTTCTTGCTGCGACCTTTCTACTTTCTACTTACCGGTTCGTATCCAATCTCATTGGGTCTGCCTTGGACCTCGGCCAGTTCAGCAGTCTCATCAATGGTGTTGCCCTTTCGAGCAAAGAAGTCTTTTGTCAGAGCGTCCAAAATATCTACACAAAACATAAGGTCACCCTTACAAATTGGAATGTCCATTGAGATAATCTTGTATTTATTCGGTTTATGTATCTGAAGTGGTGGTTCGAGTACATCCAAGAAATCAGACAACTGATCGTATCGTATGTACTGTGTGCCATCTGGATCAAACTGTTGCCAGATTTCATAATACATGTCGTAATCGTCGTCTGTCAACCCTTCTTGGACGTCTTCCGTCGCTTGCGAGTAGTTTTCTAAGATGACGGCAATGTACATATTTATCACTATAAGAAACGATATCACTAGGTAACTCAGCAAGAAAGCTATTCCTATGGTTGAGTTGCCGCAGTTGCCCGTCTCGCCTATCTCGTTGTCAGGTTGCTTGCAGTCTTCTTCGTTGATTATCCCATCTAGCACGCCATCCCAACCAGCAGATGTCGACATCTAGAATATCACGAAACACATATGTAGGTCATTCAAGCAAAATATAGTTTTTCACAAAATAGCCAAACTTGGTCAACGCCAACATGTAGAAACAGTACCAAAATGAAAGAGAATCGCGTAACGCATCGCACGCCACTGTTTACGATGTAATGTGCGCGCGCCTGGCAGGGGGGATAATGCGTCATGCTACTCTTTCATTTTGGTATCTGACTATAACCTAAGAATACAGAGTTACCAGTAGAAGGGGCACTCGCGAAAAAGCCGTTGATCTTCTGACTTCTAAAGTTGCCGACATTTTTTTAAAAACTCGGATCCTTTTTTAAGTGCCTCACTGGAAGAGGTCCCGGACTTTTTTTAATGCTTTGTACAGGGTAGTGCTGTCGTACTTTAAAGCCCGTACGGAATAGGTTGTCAAAAATTGTTGGTAATTGCATCGAGTAATTGCATTCATACAGGATCATGCATGTCATTATGGTGTGGATGGATGACAAATATCCTTTGGTTAAAAAAATGCAAATTAAAAAATAGTTTTTAGCCTCTTGACCGGCGATGGTTCATTTGTCGTACTGTCTTCTTTTTCATTACGTAAAATTAGGAACCACTGTGCCGATTTTGTCAAAAGTCACAAGTTTGAAAATGGATGTAAGGGCGCTGAGTTAAGTAAAAAACAGATGTTTTTTTTATTACCGTATCTGTAGATAGGTGAAAAACTGAAATAAAGAATAGAAAATAACGTGACATCACTTTGTTCTGACTTATTTCGATAAATATATAGATGAGCTAATCTTCTTGATGTAGGATTAGCTTTATTTGCCCTAGTAGAGACTATGTATACCGGTTGACATATTTGAATTGAAAATAAATACGGACTTGTGTATAAAGTGATCAGCAGAAAACGGTTCATAAGGATGACGCCCAAGACTTCAGTTTTCAGTCGTGGTTCCTACATTGTCTAAGCAAGCCAGCTCAACCAAATTCTTTGTGAATATTTCCTCCAATTCCGTAACATATTCAACGAAGTTCCGAAAGGGCACTATCAAGCCTCCAAATTTATCATGCGTAATTTTGGAAATTTTTTGACACTGGTACAGTTATGATTCATAAATAAATTTTGGATGGATCTGCTTCGTCAATTACATCTCGGCCTGAGCTCCTGTATGAAAAAACGGATTTCAAATATGCTTGAATAACATTACTTGCCTAAAACCATTAGCAAGGCCTCGAAACAACATTTCCCTCCTTTATTTTGCATCTAGGCACGCAGCACCAGCTTGTCATAGTGAATCGCCCTGTACACATCCAAGAACCACGCGACCCACTTCCGAACATCGACTACCTAGATTCTTATAGTACAGAAAGAATCTTCGCATCTGCTTAGAAAAATATTTTGATCTTTTTTCGCAAAATCTTACTAAAAATGAAATGAATTTTAATGATTCTGAAAAAAATATTGTTCTCTTTTATTGGGGTTATGCAAAAAACCTTATCAGAATATTTTTTATGGGACGATACTTCCTGAACTATTACCGCACGTATTGAATGATCGCATCCAAATGGCAGGTAGCATTTCAGTCTGCAAAGGTATCATCTTGCCACAGCGGCAGAATCTGTTTTTTAGATGGTGTGGTTCTTCTACTAGTAACTCTGTATTTTTTGCTGTAACATAGGAACAGCATGCGAAAGCATAGTGTTCAACTACATTGGCCCACCCTATTGTGAATTGAAAACTGGTGTCCAATGCATTTTTCCCTATTTTTGTGTACCGAGTTTGTTCTACTGTATTCTATATATCCTATAATACCTTGTGTAAATGCTATGTAAAAACGAGGAAATCTTAATAAATTTAGCAATCATTAACAATTTTCATCAGTGTTCGGTGACAGTACAGGCTTAACACAAAGATGTCACTTGATTTGGGACCTGTTTACCACAAGAGAGTTCGAAACATCATGAAGCATCGTGAAAAATAAATTACTCTCAAATCTTGGAGCAATTTTAAGCGATCTACCAATCATAACCGTTGAGTTTGGTTCTGACTTTTTCATTTTAAGTGACACGGTTTGTTACAGCTGTCAAATGATGACGTCATAACTGGCCCTTTGGACGTCACCGTTTATGATAGTTAAGCGAAATAATAACCTCGTTCAGGTGGTGGTTTCTATGTGGTTATTTTATCTCAAACGTCAATCCATGTATATAACATAACCTTTCTTATCCTTTTGTTTGTTTTATGTCGTCTGTGACTGATAATTTTCTGTACAAAGTTATCAGGGAAAAAAGATATCAGATGACAGAGTTGTAGAACTTTTGATTTTCTCTGGATTCATCCATTTTTTTATCAGAATCGTATTCAGGTTCGTTTTTAATGTCACAGTTTATTCAAATTACACTTATAATCGTTGACGTTGGACCAAAAAGCAGTTGCGTGTAGCAACTCTATTCTCAGTTCTGTGTAAGAGGGGCAACTGAAAGGATAATTAAGGGCATAACCAAGGAATAACATCGATTTATCACAGTGCATCGCTTAAAATTGCTTTTAGTATCAGTCCTGTGATACAAATGCCTAAAATTTATCGAGTTGACAATCAAAAGAATCCATATCTATAGCGTTTTACCTGGAACAATAGGATCATAGATTGTCCAAAGGTCTTGAAATTGTAGACGTCATCCAATCCGCTCTTGTCCTTGACGTGCATGAAGAACGACATACCGAATATGGCGAAGATAAACATAACCAAAAACAGCAACAAACAGATGTTGAATAGCGCGGGCAGTGACATAGCTAACGCGAAAAGCAATGTGCGGATACCTTTAGCACCTTTGACCAATCGAAGAACTCTGCCTACTTTAGCTACTCTCACCACTCTTAGCAACGTAGGCGAGACAAAATATTTTTCTATAATATCGCTAAGCACCAATCCGAGTATAGAGAGTATCACTACCACCAAGTCGAAAAGATTCCATGGTTCTGTGAAGTAGTGATAACGCAAAGCAAATATTTTCATGAGGCACTCTGTTGTGAATATAACTATGAAAATCATGTTGAGAGAGTCCAAAACTTTCGTAAATGTCTCTTTTTGCTGATAATGATCCATTGTCATTGTCAACATGTTTAAACCGATAAACAACATTATGAACATGTCGAACTTCTTATTCGTCACTATCTCGAACACTATCGCCTGCGGTCTCCACTAAAACAAACAAAAGACATACAATCAATAACACAAAAAAAAAACGAAACTCCATTCTCAAGTACCAAGATGAATAATGGTTAACCCCTATACTATACGCCACTGCTAGCGCTAACGTCTTTGTGTACATGTGCACACGGAACACAAAGACGTGTTACATTCTCTTCCATTTTGGTACTTGAGTCTAACTGAAAGAAGACCTACCCTTGGTCTGGGTATGGCCTTCATTGGCTTCTTGGAACCCATTTTTTTCATGGCATTGTAGTACTTTTTCTGATCTTCAGTCATGAACATCTCCAGAGATCCTCCTGCGTAAAGGACACATGTTATTAGAACATTTAAGTATAGACTCGGGACATAAGATATTTTTGAAATACTAGGTCTGTAAATTAAGTGATGAGACTGGTAATGTAGCGTGAGATCTGGCTAAAGAGGAGGTGCCGGTCTTGGAGGGGAGATAGTGGAACATTTCGTCCGCCTTCAGTACAAGCTTGAACTCGCTCGAGTCATTTGGTTGTCCGTAGCGATTTTTTATGTAATAATGTTTCCTATCGTGTTCTAAAAATGAATAACATCAATTTCGAGCAAAACGGTGTGCTATCAGGTTTTGCTTCAGACTTGGGAACAGTGCTACGGAAACTTGCTAAACTTCTGCAGGCCTGTCATGAGCCCAGGTTTTTCGGTGGTTTAAGGCATTTTCAGAAGGGAGGGAGTCGAATGAAGAACCACACCGGTCTTGCATCTTCAAGAACCGATGAAATTATCGAGAGAATCCGAGATCTTGTGCATTCAGATCATCGGTTGTCAGAATGATCGGAGAAGAGTTAAATTGTACTCACACGACCGTTCATCAGATCAAGAACAAATGGGTGATGCATCACGATAATGCTCCTTGTCACACAGCAATGTTAATAAACGAGTTTTTGGCCAGTAAAAACATTCATGTTGCTCCTCACCCTCCTTATTGCCTGACTTGAGTACTTGTGACGTTTTTCTCTTTCCGAAGTTGAAAAACTACCTCACATTTTGGGACTGTCGAAAACAGCTGCCGTATCGGAGTTCCAGCACTGCTATGAGGACTGGAAGAACCGTCTCCAGCGCTGTGTAGCTTCAGAAGGAAGTTATTTTGACAATATAAATTTGTAATTATATTTGAATAAGAATTAAAAAAAACGGTCCCATCACTTAATTTACAGACCTCGTACACTGCCAGTATACGAATATTTATTGTTGATATCAGCACTGCATTCCAAATGGACCTACTGTGGCCTCCCACATATACTAATAATAATAATTTATTCGGTATCCACTTTTACAAGTGCATGAGCATGTAGTACAAAATACTCGAATAAATAAAGTACCCACAGAGAGGATCATACATTCCTTGTGCGTGGGTGGTAAAGACACTGTATCCATATTTGATTCTTTGACAAGACTCCATAGCCTAAACACAGAGCATTCCGCTTTTGGATTTGCGATCCAAAATATCTTGAACCTCAGCTCTGCCAGGCCTTCACAATGAGACAAGACGCTGGAGGAGACTTTCTCCTTGTTTTTGGTCATTTATTTGATGTATGTACTTTCCACTCCACATATAGGCTCAGTTCCTTGGTGTCTTGGTACTAGGTCATCATGTTTCGGCTTTCCAGATTTTTGTGACAAATGCGTGAACATTCATATAGGTGGGAGGCCTCATGCTTAGTTTGTTTTGACTAAGGCAGGGATCAAACATGACTGAGATACTTATCTTTTTCTTCTGTTCATTGAAGTTGTCGATGATTACTCCAATAAACAGATTGAGAGTGAAGAATGATCCAAAGATAATGAAGAACACGAAGTAGAGATACATGTAGATGTTTGTTTCTCTGATAGGTTGTTTGTTGAGCTCTCTGGAATCTATAGCGTCATTCATAATCTGTATCCAACCCTTGAATGTTGCTACTTGGAAGAGGCATAGGTAAGCTTTGCCGACATGGTCAAAATTCATCCTTGAGTTGTCCCAGGTGTAGTTTTCTGCTTTACAAGCGTTGAAATCTGGTATGATCTCGTAACTGACGTAACTTTTGTTTGCATCAACACACTAAAAAACATACTAATTAGATCAGGTACACATTTTCAAGTCGGATTAGGTTTACGGATGTTTTCTGAAGTAAAAAGAGACTCCTAGATTTCTACAGGGTGAATCAAAATTACCGTTATGGTTAAAAAATATAAACTTTCTCTTCCTACGTCATTGGCCAGGAAGCATTGTAATCGCGAAAAATTTCAAAAATGAAATCATGAAAAGCCATCGAATTTTGATGAAATTTTTGCGGCGGTACAGCGACGGAGCTAAGGACAAACTTCGTTTTTTGACGTTTCGGGAACTCCTGATCATTTTCAGAAAATCATTTCGTAGGGGTTAAAAATTGAGTGTTGGATGTTGTGAGGGGTGGAGAGGGGGTGTATCTCAATTTTTAGTATATTTCAGCTCTGGTAATTCTATGCACCTATCAGGCATATATTTCACATATCATAGATTTCCGGTAAATTTGCTTAAAACTTGATAGATAAATATTTTCAATACACGCGTCCCCCGCAACGCATCTATCGTTGATACACCTGCTTCGATGGATGTCTGAATCGTGTCTTTGCCGTTGGAGATGGGTGGCTGAGGAGTGGCGAGTGGCGAGGCCAGTCATAGCAACGTTGCCAGATGGTCGGTACGTTTGGAATAATCTTGAATAATTTTTTGGACGCACGGATATACTATTAGGTTGACTATCTTCACGTACAATACTCATCGTACGCCACTGCTATACGCGGAGGCCTTCGAAAATGCGGCGCTTCTTTGTGAAATGTCGGCAAAGGTCGCTGTAATCAAAAGGTATAGCGTCAAAGCAGTGGCGCACGATGACTTCTGCTACTGTCATCAATTCTGGTATTTGACTTTAATCTATGCCTAAATTGAAGACGCGAAGATATACAGGCTCAGGTGAACAAGACACACCGGACTAAGTCCTTAAAAAATATGAAGTGAATTCTAAAAAGCGGAAGCGTTATAAATAACCCAAACCATAACGTTCGCTTTACGGTACCCTGTATGCTGTTCGTAACAAATAAGTAGTTAAACGTTACTTTAAGAAACAACGCAACACAAAAATTACAATTAAAATCTTTCGACACCAATAACGTTTAAGGTGACCTAAAACATTTTGCACCATGGCTTCCTCTCAAGCTCTCATTCTTCAGAAAATATCCATTTCAGACCGACATTTGACTGGTTGAAGGAATTACCTTGTAATATTTTCCAGCAAACAACTGTACCCCCATTATTGCAAAGATCAACCAAAATATCAAGCACACTAGCAATACGTTGAAGATGGATGGTATGGCTTGTACTAACGCATTGACTACAACCTAAAGGGAGTTAAAAATATTTTAGTAGCTTGACTACCTAGACTAGCGTGTGCGTTGAATGTCTGGAATTTTACAAACAGAATATGGATTTTTCAAAATTAGCGATTTATTCTTCCTCTAGCATTTATCGAAAATCCATATTACGGCCAATGGTGTATTCAATATCAATGCTATGTTCTAATAATTAATTTATAGTATGTAATGTTCCAGATATTCAACGCTGACTTCATTTCTTATGGTCTAAAATCCCAGAGGCATCAAAGTTATCTCATTTTATAGATGCTACTAAGAGCATTTACTAGCTTGAAAGCGGGTCAGTTTCAGAGGGAAATGCTTAGTCAGAATTCACAATAGTTTATTAATACCAGCAGTAATTTTTCGCCAATATGTAGTATGCGAGAAGCCCAAAAAATTCGGTAAAAATGCTAGATGTCTGGTCAGCAACTCTTTTCCAAATTCTTGGGTTACTTTTTGCATAGGTACTGGATTAACCAAAAATCAATCAAGAAACAATAAGTTCTCGGACTTTGAATCCGTTTGTACCACCGAATTCAGACTAGGTAAAAGGAGCAAGCCTACAATTTGTCTCCAGAATCTATGTCTGTAGTCATGATAAAATTGCATACATACTACAAGTGGACTCGACATAAGTTTTTGACAGTTCCTTCTTAAAATTCATGTTTTAGTGTTATTTTTCAAAAATGCGAGTGTTTGCGGATAATTGTGGTGTTTGACGATTTTAGGACATGATATTTCTTGCATAATTTGCAAAGACCAGCATAAACCTAACGAATCGTATGTAATAAATTCAGATAAAAATAAAAAATATCGAATTTTGTTAGGGTTACGAAACTCGGAAGTTTTTATTTTAATCCAAAAATATCATTATCAAGTTTTCCAAAGTTTTTGATATCTCTGATCTATCAGGACAAATTATCCAAATATATTTAAATAAAATAATTCAGCAAAATTATGCAAATACTTTTACCTGAACCAATCAAACAAATTTAATTAATATAATTAAATTGTTTTACTTGGAGTAGATAAACTCATTTTGATAGTTGATTGAATTTAAATATATTGATCTCCTAAATAATAAATTTAATTAAACGATTGTTTTGATTTAATTAAATAAGTTACATATATACAGGCAACCTGTTTTAGAAATCGGAGTTTAATTAAAGTAATTAAACTTGTTAACTTTCACATAGTTAACTAAGTTTTTTAATTGGCCTTATCAAAATATTGATTGGTTTAATTAATTTTTTTCTGTGAAGGTTGACATTTACACTGGTCAGTATAATTTTGGCGACAAACAATGCAAAGTAAACATATGGGCTTGGCAGCTTCTAATCTATTCGAATTCGTTATTTTGTTGCCCTGGGATTTGTGTCAAATTTCTTACTCTCATTCCTTGCATCCTGGACATAGCACGCAGTGGTCTCAGAGCTCGGAGCGTCCGCATGGTCTTGAAAGCTTGGATACCTCCTGCTCCACAGAGTGATGCGACAAAGTTGATCAGGGATACCATCACAATGATAAAATCCAACCAACACCAGGCGTTTGTGAAGTATTTTTGGAACCCTAACGCCAACCATTTAATCAACATCTCGAAGAAGAATATCACCGTGAATATCCTATCCATATAATATAGAATATCCTGTAGGATTGGTCTATGTTGTAAATGCACATCTTCCAAAGCCAGTGCTAGACTGCTGAGCAAGATCATCGTGATAACAGCTGTTTCGAAGTATTTGTTTTCTATCAACTGAAATGTCTTATATCGCAGGTTGGACCAACCTTGCCAAAAGGGCGAGTCATCGTCACCCGCCAGAAATGGGAACTTTTTGTAGCATTTCTCTGGGAAACAGTCTGCAGAATATTCGTCCACGATAATGTCTTCTGTTGCTGCGTCTATAATCAACTCCTCATCCAAAGGTCCTTGGCAGTCACACTCATCCTCTGTAAAATAACATTTTTAATACAACTGTTATATAGATAAAATAATTATACAGGGTGTCCGAGAAGTTCCGGAATCCTACCATAATTTGTGATGGTATGTAAAATCTAAGCCACGCGAAACACACCATGAAAAGAGCGGAACATTTTAAATTCAAATATGGTCTTGCCGGTTCTTAAATTTTGACCTTAGGAGGTCATGGTCAATGTCAAACCCGGTGATATAACTTGAAAACCACTAGTCGTATCGGGAAACTACCAGAACATTATTTTCAAGATTTTTCGCCGTTTATCCAATGGTGACCTTGGATCTGACCTTAACAATGATGACCTTCGAGGTCGTGTGAAGGCTATTTTAATTTTTGTAGTCAGGGAACAATTCTGAAAGAATAGTGAAGTCAGCTTATCTGGGGATTACACAGTATTCTGAGTTATCAAGAAGGGTAAACTTGTGTTTGATCTTAATGTTCAAGCCCAAGGTCAAATTCCAAAAATTGTCAAGGACATATTAGAACGTAAGATATTCCCTTTTCTTCATTTCCGCGGTCAAATGTGTCGGGTCCTATTTAAAAAAGTTAACCTTCTAATTACCTTGTAGGTCATGGCCAAGGTCAGATCCCAGTTCATTATTGGGTCTTCAAGGGAAAATCATGTTACGGTAGTTTCCCTATACGATTAATGGCTTTCAAATTACATCATTGTACCTTGGTTTCATCTTGACCATGGCCTCCTTATGTAAAATTTAAGAATGGTCAAGACCATATTTGAACGAAAAAAAATTCCATCATTACATTTACGGAGTCAGAATGGGGGTTCCATTGGAAAAATCGACTTGACCTTCAAATGATCTTGAATGTCACAGTCAAGGTTGAATTCAAGGTCACCATTGGATAGCTGGGGAAAACTCCTATCAATCGCGAGAATTAGTTTCTTCTAATATTATTAGTGGGGTTCCGGAACTGCAGCCTGTATACCAAAATGGAAGAAAGTAGTACAACCCATCTATACACCATATCGCTTTTAGCTTCTAGGCCGTATAGACAAAGCCAGGGAGAATAGAAGGATGTGAAATTGATGGTGCAGGCTTCTAAATATGTCTAAAGTGGGACCCTGGGACCCGATATGTCATAATTTTTTAAGTAGAAGTAGAAGAATCATGCAGACCTGAAGCAGTTGATTTTCACGCTTCGGCTATAATGACCACCTTTTGCAACTTGAATTCTAGGGTTACATTCCAGAACTACTTTTCAGTTAATTATGAATCTCTGTCCACATTCACAATACGCTGCTCCGCCTTTAAGATTGGAAATGCAAAGGTATGAGGAAAGGGGCACAACGGGGACATGTGCGTCCACATGGGAGGCAGGGGTCGTATCTTAAAATAACAATTTGACTTTTGCGTAGCGCGTCAAATTGTAGCGGCATGATCTCTACAAATTCAGTGAGCTGGGCAGCCTGGTGTACCAGAGTGTCAAGCTACTGACACATCAGCTAGACGGCCTTCGGAAATAACATTCCAAGCCATATATGTAGTGGTGATGGTAATGTGGATTATCTGCCTCGTTTGAGTGCATTTCATATCGATTAAATTAAGCAAAAATCACTGTCTATGGTATGGCTTCAAGAAAGACTACTCAAGTCACTTCAATTGAGCTGGTTGATTGTGCGCAAAAGCGCAATAAATAATGAATGAATCTCGACAAATTTTATATTGCTACATCTCGTTATTGTAAGTGGCTTAGCGAGTAGAAAGGTTAAGACTGCAACCAGAATGAATTTATACAAGTGGTAGTGCTAGGATAGGTGATCAAATGAAGTGACCCGCTAATTAAGTTCAGCAGTTTATGCCACTGCGAATGCGGTGTACTGATCCCATCGTACTCAAAGTCACACCGCGTTAGCAGTGGCGTACGATGCGTTACGCTACTCTCTTTCATTTACCTGTCTGGTATCTTAATATCTCTACGTGAAGACATTTAGTTCTTACCTTCGTCTATACCAAGTTCTTCCTTGCTAGCATCTCTTTTTTCTTCTTGGTCATCCAAGACGTCAGTACTTCCTTTGTGACTTTCATCTTTGAATCTATGTTTATGACTGCCATACGATTTATTGCTAATTTCATCATCGTCTATATGTCCCAGAAAATCACCGTGATCTAAAATTGAGTTGCCTATCATCTGTCTACTGATGTTGTTGATATTTTTGCCACGCTTCAGATTGGTTTTGGAATCCCCGTGTATCGTGAATTCCATGCCATCTCCTATTGTCACTTCTAGCCTATCTTTCGGGCTTTTCTTGTCTTTGAAAATAATGCCATCAGCCAGTATTTCGTCACTTGGTAGGTCTAAGCCGCCGTCTCGAACGTCTAAAATTCAGGAAGGTTGACGGACTCTAGTAGAGCGTGTAAAATTATGCGTTTCATTTTTTATAACAGTTGGAATATAAACTATTTTCTGACTAAAATAAAATGTACACATTTGTCTGAATATGTTTTGTACAATACACATGCAATTGAGTATGTTGTATATGAGCAAAAGCAATCTATTAGAATCCTTTTTATTCTCGTAAAAGAAAGTACAGAGTGTTTGAATACCTGGTCAAACTTCAAGCGACGATTCTTAGAAGAAAAGTTTATACAGGATGACCAACCTCTCATCTCAGAATCGCTTCTTGAAGTTTGGTTAGATATTACCACCCTGTAGATATCAGTTATATGATCATTGTGAAATAAAGAAAGTTAAATACATTCATATTTTCATACAATTAAGCAAAAAAGCACAAACGTTTCGTTTATACAGGGTGGCCCACTTATATCGATCCAATTTTGATACAAGTCATCTGAATGATCATCAGTATCCCGAAAAACAATAGTTTCAAAATCATCTAGGAATCTCAAAGAGATCATTACTTTTTTTAATTCATTTTAATGCATTAAATGCAGATGCCGGCAGGAGGTGCCAGGTGAGTCCATGCCTCTCCCATTTGTGTACAATTTCGGGGGTTTTCAAGATTTGGACCCTCTGAGAAAATTTGGTATCCCCCATTCTTTAAAAAGTTGAGGAGGATACACTTTCACAGAAAGTATTCTTTTGCCAGTGATCGTCGCCCCTGAGAAAAATTCCTACGGGTGCCCATGTAATTGAAGCACTATAAATGGATCATGCTGTAGGTATATTATTATATAGAAATTGACCTGACAGCCCTCAGACTGTTTCTGACTTGTGTATGCAGGTTATCCCAGATTAACAACTAAACATAAAGAAAATAATCCTATCTAGAACGTAGGTATAGCTTCTAATGATGCCATGCCACTATGGTATAACCTAGTCTATTTTACAGTGCTTTTCAAAAATGTTACCTCCCACTTATTTTTTTAATGGGTCAAAATAGCAAGCCGAAATTTGTAGTGATAGCCTTGACGATATATTTTAGCGTAAAAGCGACTGTTGGGAATTTAAAAATGGCGGCAGGCGCCATCTTGGTACATTTTTTTAAAGGGAATAAGGGATCATGTCATATCTTATTTTGAAGCGCATTATCTTCCAAAATGGCAGCAATAACTGAGCCTCCAGTCATCAATACGCTATACAGGGTGACTTCGAAGTTGAGTCATTTATTTTAACAGTGAGTAGATCTGATCAAAAGAAATGTTTTTTCCTTTACCATTTTTCTGGTAAAATTAAAGTAACAAAGTTATAGCCCTTTGGAAGTTTGAGTACCGCCCTGTCTCAATAATAATATCATGTGCTCGTGTTTGGCAACAACGGATATAATCCGCCTTATCGGTTCATCGCATCGGAAACAAAAAAGCGAAAGAATTTGGAACGATGTTTTTACAATTATTTTATTCAGTTCAGTTATACATACAGTCAGTGTCAGTCGGTAACGCGTGTGAATAGTGTCTGTTGCGTGGCTCAAACGAAATAAAAAATGGCACATGTTTATGCGGATCGGTTTCCCAATCGAGTGCAACCAACCCCTCGTGCCTTTGTTAATGTAGTACAACGGGCTCGTGAATCAGGTGACTTAAGACCTCACAGGGGACCTCACGATCAAATACAGGTCCGCACTGAAATACTTGTCGGGAGGATACTTTATAAAACAAGGTAAACATTTTTTTTTTAATTTTTTTTATTTTTACACACATATTTTGGTTTACCTTCCTTCTACAATCATTATCTGAAAATTAATGACTCAACTTCAAAGTCACCCTGTATATAGTATATCAACCTTCTTTCCTTTTATATCGGAATATTTAATAGAATATGGAAGAAGCTATTTGAAAAAAAAATGTGAAAGTGTCCAGTCCACCATTTTGAAATATAGTAACTTTATGTTCTAGAGTTAAAACGGTATCACATGACCTCCCAACAAATGTTCAAGATGGCGCCCGCCCAGCCAGCTATTCCAACCGTGGCCACATTTTACGTTTTACATAATAGCATACAAGCATCAATTTCAACACTCCGAATTTCAGCTTACTAAATTGATCTGTTAAGAAATAGGTGTGGGGGGCACTGCATATCATATACAATTTTTTAAAGCTAAGGTGTACGCTGAATATATGGCCACGCTGCTATAAGTATTTGCTTTTGCTTGACGTATTGTTCGTAGTGGGATACTGTACCCCCAAAAATTTAAAAAATAGAGAAATATGAGAATATTTTACTCCTCCTATAACCTAAACTGTTTGAGCATCTATAAGAGTATAAATATAGTTTTTGTTCCTACTGGTACCTTTCAGTCGCAAATGAAAAAAAAAAGAGAAAAACAATGACTGTAAGACAGGATAAGATAATTTTACCACACAGTACAAGGACTTTCAATATATGACTAACGGATAATTCTTAGATATCTAAGATGTCTACTGGATATCCACAGATAACTATTGGCATAGTGAAATATAAAAATGAAAGAGAATAAATAGCACAACGATGGATGTCCCCCCAACGCCAGAGTGCCGTCGATTCAAAGGGTTCCCTACACTATGCGGGAAATGACATTCAGGCATAAGACAGTAATAGATGCACAGAGAAACTTGTTCCAGTTCTTTCGCGTCTCTTCCAGACATCTTACGAATCTGGCACCTTCCCAGAAAATTTGCTCATGTCCAACCCATCCCAAGAATTAAAGCAAAATGTCCATCCGCTTCGATATCGTTTCTCTGCGTGGGCTCTGAATTAACTGAAAACAGAACTGTAGGATTTGCGGTTCTGAAAATCCACATGTCGTCATAGAAAAACCAATGCATCCAAAAAGAGCAACTTTTTGGTGTGGCCTTTGAAGTGGTGGGATTATTGGTCCCTACTTTTTTCAAGATCAAGATGATAACAGCGTGACGGTAAACGGGGAACGTTATAGAGACATGTTGAGGAGTTTCTTCACTAAGTTCGGTCATCGCGTTCATTGGCCAGCCCGCAGCTTTGATTTTACGCCCATCGATTACTTCCTATGGGGTACTGTTCAGGACCGCTGTTACAATAATGGTCATCAAACAATTGATGTTCTTAAGGAAAATATCCGTCGAACTATTGATTCAATAGACCCACAAACTATCGAAAATGTGCTCCAAAATTGGGTTATGGGGATGGACTACTGCCAGGCCAGCTGCGGCAGCCATTTAACTGAAATTGTTTTTCATGAATAAAGTATCGAGTGTTACATAATATGGAAAAGTGTAATTTTAATACCAATTTAAAGAAGAAACCAACCGATGGCCCACCCTTTAGCTCTCTTTGACCTCCCATCCTAACCGTATCGGACTTCGTACATTCAGAACTGGCCGATGCGACCGCTCCTTTGTCCATAGGATGTGATTTTGGAGCAATCTACAAGAGGAGGCTTTTCCGAGTTCTAATAACCTTAGGCAGTTCAGAAATCGGATTAACAAAGTCTCTTTGGGATCCTCATAGCAGCCGCGGTCTCCTGCGTGGCGGCTTCGGTTTACAGAAAAAAAAACATCGATGTCTATACATGAAAGTGAATCTTAATACTCAAACACCGCCTCATTAACATTGGCGTACGATACATTCCGCTACTCTCCTCTATTTTGGCACTTCACTACAGCTTGGTCCTTTAGATTAAGGTTTAGTTCAGATGACACATGTACCTACAGCTTCATACAACCTTTATAGAGAGTGAGACTAGGTAATCGTGAGCCAGTTTATTGTGCTTAATAAACGAGAATGAATGTGAAAGAAGCTATTTGTGCTTGATTAACACATAGAAGAATGAAACGACGTAGGACAGAAAAGACATACTGGGTTCAACAGATTTTATGAAATAGACTATCCACAAGTTTATACATTACACTATATCCCAGCCAATATAGTTTGAACTTCATGTTCGAAATCGCAGGCCTCTTTTTAATTTGATCAAGAAACATACGTGTATTGAAGAATTCTTCTGTGTACATTTTAGTACCCTAAGTGAGAAAGCAATTTGATTTTCTAGTATCGCAATATGAGAGTAAGTAAAGCTTTAGATACGAGTATGGATATACTTTTCGGGACATCTTGTACTGTGTGGATTGTGTACCATATACAAAATGTATCAACTAGCTAGGCACTGACGTTAGTCGCGGTATAGCTGTAAGCACTACAAAGCGGCAAGCAAAAAGAAATCAACGTGTTATCAGATTTTTTGATATAAACCTTGGTTCCAACTGTTGGAGGGTCCCTCACCTGACGGCTGATCTGCTATCTGGTTTGTTAATTTATAACGTATCATTTTTGCGATATGTCTAGCACTAGCCTTTATCCATTTTATGAAACGGCCGATTCTGTCGAAGGCCTCAGCTATTTTGTTAGTGTCATTGTCAGCCGTCGTGGCAGATAAGCTAGATGAGCCGAAATTGCTCAAGAGCAAGGCTAAGAAGAGATTCAGAACCTGCAAAATATATTTTTTTTAGATTCGCATTATTATTATGTACATAGGTTTACGTAGGTTGCTCCACAAAAGGGATTCTGGAATAAGCCTGCGAAAATAACAATACTGAGGTAAATATGCCAGAAAATACAACAAAAAATAACGTAAAAAGTGTTATAAACATGTCCTCAAACGTCAAATTACGAGTTTCTACCCTAAGGATGAGACAGAATAAGGACTAGACTTGAATATTGTTCGAATGACGCTGCAGTGAGATGAGATGATCAATAACTTGTTTTCACAATAGAACGGATTTTACTACAAGTATTCAGACTCTTTTTCGCTAAAAGATATCTCAATAGAGGCAATGCATCTAAAATTTACGAGGCCTATTTTTTCAAGTAGATTTTTTTATAAATATTTCATTATTTTTAAAAATTAGCTTTAACTCATAAAATTAAATTAGATTATTTGTGTAACCGCAACTGCTGGCACAAATTTTGTTAATATTATATTCTATCCCTAAATCTAAATTTGTTTAAGATTTAGTTTTACTTACTGTGTATAAACTGCTAAAATTATGTTTTAAATAGATTTTAATTTCTCACAAAAGTTTACATATAACTAAAAGAAAAATTAAATTTATAAGCTAAAATAAATCCTTTTTTGAAAAAAAATAATAAAAATCAATAACAAGAAATTATTAATAATTAAATTGAGAATTTTTTTTTTTAAATATGAAATAAATTACCAATTAATAATTGATAGTTTAATGTTTAAAAAAACAATAATATAAATCAACCAATATACAGGGTGTTTCAGTTTATTGTTGCATAACTTTAAGATTCAATAGAACTTTTAAAATTAATGCATAAAGTCTATATAAACATGGGTCGAAAAATGCGTGGCTTCCGAAATACATGGTGTTTAAATTTACTTTCTAAAATATTTCGAACAATATTTGATGTATAAAAGTGAAAATTGGTATACAAGGGTTTTTTGGTACGACAAAACGAACCATGGGCATCGTTTTACTGTAGCCGCTAGAGGGCGCTCTCTACTGAACCCGTAGTGTATTGAAATGACCGAAAAATTTTCCTTAGTGCAATTTTTTACTTTTTGAATAAAAAAACTGATTCTTCGCACTTTTCAACATAAAAAAGCTCTCCTGTGAGATTTCGTTATAGTTAGCCGTTTTTGAGATATTTCGATTTTTAAGGTTCGATGCATTTTTAATTATTTATGGGAAGATAATATTTTTTTTACATTTTCGATTTGGGCATTACAAGTAATTAAGATGATCGTTTAGATTGTATTTTTAAACATTAATTAAATTAATTATTTACAACTTAAATACTATTGGCTAGTTAGGATAAACATACAAAATCTAAAGTAGTTGCTCGAAATGTAAACCCAATTGTTCAATACACAATTCACATCTACGAATGATCGAACGTGGTATAGCATTATTCAAATAAGGCCGTATTTCATCACATGTATTCCTGATTCTGTCTATTAACATATCTCTTGTGGTTACAGGAGTCTGGTACACTTCTTCTTTTAGAAATCTCCACACAAGAAATCTAATGGATTTAGGTCAGGGGATCGTGGAGGCCAGGCGACTGGTCCTCCACGGCCGATCCATCTTTGTGGATAATTTTCGACCAGCCAGTTTCTAACTATTCTCGATTAATGAGCTGGACAACCATCAAGCTGGAACCAGGCCAATCTTCTTAAATCTAACATAACATCATCCCACATATTTGCATGTTCAGCTTTTAAAAATCCCAAGAAGGTCGTAGCATTTAACCTTGCAGGCAAAGGTAGGGTCCAAATAGTCGATTACGGTAGATACCAATCCACACGTTCACACTAAATTCGAGCTGAAAATTTCTTTCCCGAACTGCATGCGGATTTTCATGCGCCCAAATATGTTGATTATGAAAATTTACCACTCCACGTCTAGTGAAGCATGACTCATCGGTCCATAAAACGTTACTTAAAAACTCCCTAGTATTATCAGTTCTATCAAGAATCCACTGACAAAATGTGATTCTTCGTTCTCCGTCCCCTGGCTGTAGTAGCACAGGTTGCAAATGGTAAGGACGTCTATGGTCTTCGTGCGTATTCTCTGGCTGCTTGTGCTGCGTTTCCATATACAAAGCCATACACAATGAATATCCGCTAACTCTTGATTGGAGAATAAAAATGGCATTTATATAGAACTTACAAAAAAAAAAACAGGTAAAAGAAACTAAATTTCATGCATGCACAATTGCAAAAAAACGTTTCAGGTTTCAACAAAACTAACTGTCAACTAATTGACGTTTAACCTTATTCTGCTTTAAATTTCAAAAATATTTGCAGGCACAGCCTACTTCTAAAAATTATAGAGATACTGACTTTTTAACGTTATTTTATCATAAATAATTAAAAATGCATTTAACCTTAAAAATCGAAATATCTCAAAAACGGCTAACTATAACGAACATTCACAAGAGAGCTTTTTTATGTTGAAAAGTGCGAAGAATCGGTTTTTTTATTCAAAAAGCAAAAAATTGCACTAAGAAATTTTCTTCGGTCATTTTAATACACTACAGGTACAGTAGAGAGCGCCCTCTAGCGGCTACAGTAAAACTATGCCCATGGTTCGTTTTGTCGTACCAAAAAACCCTTGTATACCAATTTTCACTGTTATACATCAAATACTGTTCGAAATATTTAAAAAAAACTATTTTAGAAAGTAAATTTAAACACCCTGTATTTCGGAAGCCACGCATTTTTCGACCCATGTTTATATAGACTTTATGCATTAATTTTAAAAGTTCTATCGAATCTCAAAGTTATGCAACAATAAACTGAAACACTCTGTATACTAAAAAATTACATTGACATAACTTTTAAAGGGGGTGCGCCGTTTTGTAATGGAGTCACAGACAAATGTTATTTATGAACGAAAATTGTATCAAACCGAAATTTGAACATTTTTTTTTTTCATTTTTTGAGACCATAAACATCTGACATCTGTCAAGTCGTTGCAGCGGCTTTTGGATCCCGTCGTCAAAGAACGCTTCCGTTAAACCGATAATTAGTAACTAGTTCGACATGTCATCATTTTCCAAGTGCTTTCCACCAAAAAATTTCTTAAAAAGATGAAAGTCTGATGGTGCCAAGTCATGGCTGTATAGTTAATGATGCAGTAATTCGCAACGAAACTTGTCCAGTTGTGTCTGTATTCTTGCCCCAATGCTGAGCGTTGTCGTGAAGCCAAGCTAAGCCGCTAGAGAGCAGGCTCCGAAAAATGGCCCTCGTAATACCGTATAGAAAAATGCTATATATGTTCCGAAAAAGTCAGTAGCTTGAATGTAATTACTCAACCTACTGGTGTAGTCTTAACCACAGAAATTTTCGTATGCATTCGTTATGTTCCTTGTACTACGTACAAAATGTTAAGTCAATGTGTTATCCATTCTGAAGATTATTCACCCAATTTATATACTATAACACCTCGATAGGGGGACATTTCACGATCAAGTTGATATAACCTTCCCGTCTTGTTTTTGGATCTATTATCTGCCACTACTTTTTGTGTAACTGTAATGTCGCTCGTAAATGATGCATAGGATGCCAGTTTCATTCGCGAAATCATAATAAATTGGCGTAATTATGAATTCTGTCATAACAAATAAATAAACAATCGTAATGAGACCTTAACTTTTGTTTTTAATGTGAGGGAAGTGGAGCAACACTTTTATTTTTATATATGTTTTGTATCTTCGTGTGATTTACTATACGTTTGAATTGGAAAGTGTTGCAACCATACGATTATATATTACACTTCACCTTCTTTGTACTTTTACTCAGGTACGAAATAAAGCCCATTTATTATTGTTATTATTATTATTATTATATAAAACACTAACTTACGTATTCGAAAATGAGCCAATTTTGAATAAAATAAAATGCCACGATTGCTAACTCTAAGCTTTCAAAGAACAACCAAGTACCAAAATGAAAAGAAAAATGATGAAACATTAAAATACATATGTTCTAAAATTTCATAGATGCGTCCAACTCAAAATATGATTTGTTTTCAGGGCCGCAGCTCCCGTACATAGACCCCGATACTTACAAACTCGACAATAAGGCGTATTGAATCTTAAATTATCCCTTCGGGAGCAACCACGTATTAAAGTCTGAGCAGTGTACGTACCACTAAGTTGCCAATGACGACCGTTGCTAAGAAAAACGGAATACATGAAACATCACCTACTAACATACAATCCCACATAGACTCGATCCATTCTCCACACAATACCCTAAACACTATCATAAAGGAGTGCATAAAATCTGTGAAATTCCACCTAGGAAGTTCATGGTCCGGAAATCTATCAACATTATCTAAAACAGAAAATGATATTTCATTATAAATTGCTAGAAATATAACACAGTCACTGCTGACATACAGTATGTTATCACTCACATTACACAACTCCAGCATCATAGAAAGAAAATGGCTGAGGCCACAGAGAAGGTTGTAGATTAGCCGCAAGAGATACGCTAGATGCCAAGATAATAACACAGATATGTGGTGATTTTCCCCTTTAAGGTCTCTTTCGCACTAAAGGGCGGAAGCGATCTTGCTCTTTTCTACCGCTATGTCAGCAGGCTTTGCTCCTCAGAGCTCCATGGTGCCGCGCGTTAAGCCTCCTAGAGGCTTCCGCCTCCCAACCCAACTCTATCGAATTTCGCACATTGAGAACTGGCGGATACGACCTCTGCTTCGCTTCTAGAGATTGTGGAACAGTCTGCCCGAAGAGGCTTGTTCCAATTCTGCTAAACTTGGCCAGTTCAAAAGTCGCATTAACAGAGTGTTTTCAAGTTCCTTATAGCAGTCAAGAGGTCCTGGTGTTTAGGTTTCTGCCCACGCAACTGTTTCAGTATGAAAAAAATTAGTTTTTCATTGACAGACCGATAACTTTTCACCCTACCCTCGTATCTCAGCATCTAACATGTTATCATGTTACTAAGCCTACCACTAACAATGAGATGTAAGTGCTCAGTACGCTCCCACTGTTGCCATTTATACTTTCTATGATGGTTGATTTGTATACTTTATATACACACATTTGCATAGTATTTTTACGTAACTTACCTGTATAATTTTTACCAAATAATTGCATACCCATAACGGCAAATATAAATATAATAATACACAGCACGAATGTTAAGTTTCCTAAAGCACCCATTGTTCTACCCATAATCGAAATAAGTAAGTTTAAGGTTGGCCATGACTTGGCCAACTTGAACACTCTTAGCTAAAAAAAGAATGTTTTGATCAGGTATATCTCTTACGTACGAATGATAAAGCTAATAAACCTGTAGATTGCCGAAATACCGCCACTGATTATTGAAACATTCTTTATCTTGTGATAAATAAACAGCTTGTCAGCAAGTCGACTTGGTCAGGAAGTATTTACTTATTTCTTTTGATGAATCTGCAGTTGTCATGCTCGAAATTGTTCAAAAATTTTATTCAAATAAATTCCCAACATTTTTTGTTGATATTTTTCGAGATAAAAGCGGTTAATAAAACATTTGAAAAAGTGTAAAATATGCCATTTTCAACACCGAAAATAAGATGAAAAAAACGAAAACTTTAATGTTGCCAATATTAATAAATATTCCTCAAACATGCATTAACAAAATCCCAAACTTTTTTTAATTGTTCCGTAAGAGCGCGCTCAATGTATATTCTGCGTGAGTGCGAGACAGTGGTTCAAAACATGGACAAAACTAAAAAGATTCACTAAATTCTACCAAAAAACTTGATCAACATGTTTTCAAGCTCGCTGATCACAAATATGATATCCATTCGTCAAAAATCCAATATAGCGTAACAAATTATATATCAATTTTTCCGAAATAAAGATGGCGGACATGTTTGTGAATTTCAGTGTTCTAATAACGAATTTAGTATCGATCTAATATGGTAGACATATATGTAAAAATTTTAAATTTAGTAATTATATAATTTTAATCAAGGAATTTTGCAAATCATTGTATGAGGTTGTCCAAAACTGACGCAGGAAAGTAAACACATATTAAAACAAGAAAGATTGATATTCAAATCAAATTGGGTACTTTATTTTGAAGGTTCATTTATACCATTTATGTATGAAAAATAATATCGCTCAAATGTTCACCACGACTGGATTTACAGACGTTCACGCGATGGTCGAAATTTTCAATGACATTTTGCAACATGGTCGGTTCTATGGCATTTATCTCGGCAATGATGTTGTTTTTGAGTTATTGGAGGGTGGCTGGTTTGTTGACGTAGACTTTGCTTTTCAAATATCCCCATAAAAGAAGTCCAAGGGAGTCAAATCGCACGATCTTGGTGGCCATGGCACATTTCCTCTGCGCGAAATCACGCGATCACCGAAGAAAGACTGCAATCTATGGATATTGACGTTGGTTGTGTGGCATGTTGCACCGTCTTGTTGGAAATAAACATCGTCCATATCCATTCCTTCAAGTTGCGGCAAAAAATAGTCTTCTAACATCACGTGATATAGCTCAGATTTGACGGTAACGGCGTCTCCGGCATTTTCGAAAAAGTAAGGTCCGATGATGCCTTTTGACCACAATGCACACCACACAGTCACTTTTTGAGGATGCATCGGCTGCTCTTGATACTCACGGGTATTTTCGTTCGCCCAGATGCGGCAGTTTTGCTTGTTTACCGTCCCATTCAAAGTGAAATGCGCTTCGTCGCTGAACATGATTTTTGATGAAAAATTGGCATCAATTTGGCGGTGTTCAAGGAGCCAATCTGAGAACGTTCGGCGCGAAAAATGGTCGGCCCGACGCAGCTCTTGCGTCAATCGGATCTTGTAGGCGTGTACATTCAAATCCTTGTGGAGAATGCGGAGCAAACTGGTTCTCGATATGCCCAATTCTTGGGATCGACGCGTCGTTGATTGTTTCGGATCGTCTCTCACACTCTCCTTCACAACAGCAATATTTTCCGGTGTGCGAACGCTCCTTGGCCGGCCAGAGCCTGGCAGATTTGCCACAGAACCTGTTGCCTCGAATTTACGCACCAGACGACCAATGGTTGTTTCGTTTGGGCGGTTGTTGCGACCGAAATGTTCACGAAGCGCGCGAAATTTTTTTTTGCACCATTTTTGTAGTGCTCTTGAATAACTTTAATGCGGTCTTCAATCGAATACGACTCCATAGCGATCAATGGTAAACATTCAACTAACAAAATGACATGTCGGTGACAGAAAACAAAGATGGCGTCTATGTCAAATTGACGTTTACCTTCCTGCGTCCCTATTGGACAACCTATAATGCCACATAATTGTCAAAGTTGCAAAAATTAATTACGAACATGTTCAATAGAGAAATTGAACGGATCAAGTCAGTAAAACAGGTCTATGCAATTAGTCCATAGACACTCTTTCTCTGCCCTACCGGTAGTTATCGTCGATTTGGCAACGTTGCGCCAGCCCATATCGTCACACGCGGCAGCGCTCATCGAAGCACCACCACAGTACGAGCAGAACAATTTAGCAGACCGTTACGCCTGGCGCTGAGCCTAGATAGCATAAGGAGACGAGTATCGGAAACATTTCTGTAACGTTGTAAGTTTCAAAGACAAATGTACTAGGAAACCTATGATGTTTGAAATATGGCTAATACGTGCGTCAAATTACCGGAGTTGGCAGCGTATATACTAACATTAAATGATTGAGATAAACTCTCCCCCACCCCGCCCAACTCTCACTTTCTCTTATTTTTACCCCTATAATGTGTCAGGATGTGGTCGGGATCCTCTAAAACGTCAAAAAACAACATTTGAGCGATTTTGAATTTTTTGTTTTTGCCATTTTTCTCCGCCGCCACTGGACCGATTTCAAAAACGTCCTTGCCGAAGTAGTAACCTTGTGTAAAATTTCCATCCAAATCCGACCAGTACTTTCCAAGTTACAGAGGGGTCAAAGATTACCGGAAAGACAGACTGACCGACGGAAATGATTGAGATGAGATGCACATGTCATGTAACAACCAAAAAACAAAACATCTCGGTTTCGAGATTTTTCGCGATTACAGAACTGCCTCGCGCATTGGTGTAGGAATTAAAAATCTGGAGTCAACCGCGAAACAGATCTTTTTGAGCTTTTGGCCAGTTTTTATGGTTCTTCGCCAACCGCATCATTATTTGGACCTGTATTATAAAGTGACCATGTCATTAGTGTGTCAATACAATATCGCTGCCGACAACTGTACTCGTTTCGGCTTATCTACAGGTCAATTTAAAATAAAGTTTCATACCAGTCTGAATGACCTCAATACGGATAAACCTTGTACACCTTCCAGACCCAATTCCAACAAAGATAAGGCTACAATAATGAAATCAAATATGTTCCAGCCCTCTTGGAAGTAGTATTTCGGACTCATTGCTATCAACTTCATCGTAGCTTCAATCATGAATGTTGCAGTGAAAAACTGAAAATATCAAACGTTGTTATTAGGGGATAACGTTGACCCCGGCTCCGCACATTGAGCCAACATTGGTAACAACAGCGGTCGTCCAATGTGTGGTTAACGAAACAGGGCAAGGGCGGATTTAGAGGAAAGCTAGGGACGCGCGCCCCCCTAGACGCCCAAGTCCACAATTTAAAAAAGCATATACGGGGGCGGTCCGATAAGTACCGACCGATGGCGCTACTATCGTAAGAGAAATTTACCATCGTGTAGTACATTTTCGTAGACGGCTACTGTCAAAATTTCAGCCGAATATGCGTAGGTCATATCCTGCACGAAATATTGGGTATACAAAAGCTACCTGCGCGATGGGTGCCGCGTTCGCTCACTCCGGACAGCAAGCCCAACCGTGAAACCACTTCAGAGTAGCGTTCGACGCTGTTTAAGCGCAATCTGAAGGGGTTTCAGCGTCGTTTCCTGACCGTCAATGAAGCATGGATCCATTAGCATAGACCAGAGACCAAAGAACAGTCGAAACACTAGACTCCACCTAACAAACGTACACCGAAGAATGCGAAGACTGTCCTATCGGCCGGAAAGGCCACATAGATTCACAAGGTGTGTCCTACATCGGCTGCAGAAAGGCAAAACGGTCACAGCGCTCTCTTATGTCGAATTATTGGGCCGATCCGACGTCAAATTGCAGAAAAAGCGGCCCCGTTTGGCGACTATGATGAGAAATAAATCACCACTTTTTCAAAATGTTCGTTTTTCTTTTGTAGGATAAGTACTTATCGGACCGCCTTCGTATTGCTGTGTCTTAGTGTAAAAATTACATTGCTAGGCCTGAATCATGAGACGTGCGCCCCTCTACCCTCAGACGAATTCTACCACGGCTATTGAATTATCACAAGGGTTTTTGCTCTCAAAAGCCATGCTTAAGGATTGAAGCACGCCGCCTCCCCCACCCTTCAATTTTTAATCGCCAATAATACCCCCGAACACTTTTCTGATCATGAATGTGGTAACCACCGCTGCGCCCAGCTCCTAGACAGATTTGTAAATGCCACCTTGTAACAGAGTTGGAGCCCATGCCCATGATACTATAACTTGAGAAGATTCCGCTCATCTGTATGTAATGCAGTTTAATCAAAGGGTTTTCTTTTGAATATTTGTTTAACATTTACATTAACATTTTGTGTTATCGATTTTACATGATAATTTTAGTATTATATAGAATGTTTTATTTATATTTTGATGCTTTGTCAATACAATTTAATGAAGTGTATCATTAAAGACATAATACATTGCCGTTGTAAAGTTGAAAAATAGACAACGTTAAAAAATCATTGAAAATGCGCTTGTAGCTTTTCAAACCGAAATTCCTTTAGAGCTCCAAATAAAAGAACTTTCTTTTCTATTGAAGTTAGTTGGTTTCAAATAATATATGTGTGCATCATTTGTTGTATTAACTTTTTGTACAGAAAAAGGGCGGAGAACAGGATACAGTATATAGGTATGATATTTTTATAATTTTGTATAAAATGTTACGTGTAAATGGTTTTTTAATATTTTTTATGGGTAGGTGTTAATAAAAGTATTTTGCGTTGGTAAACAGTTTTATTCAACAATTTTCATCATTTTTCTTTTCCAAATTCTGGATTACTCTTTTATATCTGTATTTAACATCCGTATTTTAAAATACATTTTACTTCTAGAAAAAGATGCTTGGCATCTGCACTTACACTAACTGGCGTGGCTAAATCCATCATTGATTTTAAATAATTTTTGATCGACTTTAATGTCCCTGAAATTGTCGAAAATACGGCCAGCTTCATTACACTTAATTAGAAATTATTAGATATGTCTTGTTGATAACACTTCAGAACCCACTGTTCGCAAACTTGTTTCTTCTTTGGAAAACTTAAGAAACGCCTAACCGAAACGTCTATTTTTCTTGTTGTTGTTGCTTGAAAAACTCACAGTTTTTTTTATCATATCTCACACAGACTTATTTGGAACACACTCGATAACAAACTAACGAAACTAATCACAAATTACGCGCTAAAGCAGCATATAAAACGGTACGTTTGTCAACTGTCTCTAACGATTTTTGTCACCAAGTGACGTCGCCCGCGCGAAAGAGAGACTGATGATCGTATGTGCGTGGGTTCATCTTCTCGAGTAACAGTATCATGGTAGGAGCCAATGTTGGACTATTGTTGCGCTAACGTTGAAATATTCACGTTAGCTGCTGGGAAGGAATTGGCGGCAATTATTGGCGTTATCGTTCATAAAATCTCAAAATTATTCATCTTGCTAGGTGCTCCGATAAAGACACTCGTTTCTACAAAATGTCGCCTGAGACGGAAATATGGGATAATGCAAACATTCAATAGTTCTTGGACCTGTATAACGCAGCATCTGTATTATGGAACCAAATGTTCCAAAAACAAATACGCTTCATAACACCTTGATCAGTGGTGGCGCTAGGCAATATATGGACGTCAGCTACATCAGCCTTGCTCAATCAAAAAAAAATGTTATTTGTTATACACTAATATATTAGTATATGGGTTTTATTGCTACTGAAATGATGTAAAAAAAAATAAACACACAAATTAAAATAGACAAGCTTTCCAGCCTTTTGCTTCACTGAATTGTTTCACGATTTTTAGGTCTTCATCAACTTTAGCTTTGAAAAGCTTCTTTCAGCGACGCTGTACTGACTGTAACTGTGAGCATGATTTTGATTGTTGTGTTAGCATTTGGATGTAATTTTTTCAAAATATTTTCTAAAATGTACTGGATAAGTTACGAGGTCTGTAAATTAAATGATGAGACTGTCAACGTAGCGTTCGATCTGGCAACACTGGAGGGGCCGGGCTTGGAGTGCAGACAGGGGAACATATGATCCGCCTTCAGTACAAGTTTGAACTCGCTCAAGGGAACCCCTTTTTGGAGAACTCGAAAATATTCAAACGGCTGTAATCGACCAGCTGAAAGCTATTCCAGTATGGGAGTTCCAGCACTGGTATGAGGAGTAAAAGAACCGCCTCCAGCGCTTTTGAGGGTGAAAATATAAAATTGTAATTATATTTGAACGAAAAAAATTTAAAGATCAGTCTAATCACTTAATTTGCAGACCTCTTATCTTGCGTCATTGATATAGTCTATTAAACTAGATTTTAAGAGCTACAGTTCTTCATATAGTTGTATGCCACGGTTTTTACCTTTCCAAAGCATTACAATGCCTGTCAAGGTCCTGCTTTGATATAGGTTTCAAAAGCGCACATTCTCTTGAAATTATGACGTTGATTCGAGATCACAGATACTTGAAATGCGGTAATAACAAATAAGGAATGGATCCTAGTTTAACGGAATACGTTTTAAAGTTTTATGCAAATATCTTCGGGCCCTTTTTACTTTGACATTTTCACAGCACACCGAACTTTCTTTTTTGCTTTGTGGTTTCTGGTTATGTTTGATTTTGTTGTACATTTGGATGGAGGGGCACTCGGGAAAATAGACAAATGGATGTTAACGTAGGCAAAAACTCTTTAAAAGAAAGTTATCGTTAATAATCACGCAATTAACCATATAAGAGCTCCTAATCTAATGCTCATGAAGCTATTTTTTTACAAAACTAAAAAAAAGCGTCGATTTTTGCATACGTGAACAGAAATAATTGATTAATCGGGGATTCCCCGAGTATCGCTCGTGGTATACTTTTTTAAAATTGATGGCTTAACGCCGCCACTGACCTTGACCTTAAATGCAATTTCAATTGCGAATGATCTTACTTCATTGTAGGTCTTATTTCCATTGTGGATTGTGATTAATACTTACATAGTTTCCACTTTTGAGAGCCTTTTCCAAATCTTTATCCATATTGTGGTGGTCAAGTGCCATGAAAAGTGTGTTGACAACGATGCAAAGCGTGATGAAAAGCTCCACAAAAGGATCGAAGACTATCAGAGCTACATATTTTTGAAAAATCAACCACGGTTCGCAACAATCCCATACGCAGAAAATGTCGATCATTTTCATGGTGAAGGCCAACATTCTTTCCTTCATAGTCGGTTCCTCTTCCTCCTCGTCATTTTGGGCTGAGAAATAATAAACCGAAACTGTTCAAAAGAAAATGTATGTTAAGTAATGTTGACATATGATGCCTGAAAGAGAGAGCTGAAGTGCTGAGTGTATGCTGGTGCGACATGTAGTTCTTAACCGTCGGTTAAGTTTTTAGTTACCGTACCATGAGCGTGAAAAAACAACGAATTCAAGAGTATACATTTGTGCAAGTCAAACTTAAGGGCGAACGTGAAAATACGAAAAAAGTCCATATAAGGTGGGTGGACCATGGAATATCACACTAACAAATCAACCAAGGGCGCTCTCATAAATGTTTCCCCGGAGAGGGAGGCATCGCTGGTATCAAAGTTTGTCAGGAGAGAGCGGGGGGGGGGCAAATCCTAAAAGTTGAATAACGACGTGTGGATAGAAGGAATTTATCATCGGTAATAACTATGACTGTTTAATAATTGGCCTTACAAGGAGAATGGACTTCCATGGTCTACCCATCTTAGTGGGAGAACCGGTGAGACAAAACACTTCAGTATCGTTATACCTATTAAATTCTGTAATTTTTTTGATGTTTTCCTTCAGTGTTTTCAATATTTTTTTCAGTCTTAGTAGCATTATAAATAGTAATCAAGAATTGCAAAAAACTATTGTAAAATTGTACAAAATAACACTCAGAACTACAAAAATTAGAACAAAATCCTGTTGAAATGAACATTTTCATAATTGTCTCAGGCCACAAGTCAAATTGCACAAATTGAACTGTATGTTAACAGCTTATTACATTTTTGTGCGACAAAGTAACATTACTATGTCAATTTTTAACATGCAGTTTGTTACTTTTTACCATAAAAATGTGAAAAATCCTATATTTAGTTCTCAGAATTGTGAGACTTATACTCGACAACTTTTTGCAAAATAGAGTTAAGAAATGTTCTTTCACACTCACTGAGGAGATGAGAATTCTAAAAATAATGCATCCTTCTACAAACAAAAAATCACGCTCATGGTTGTCGCCCAATACAATTTCAAAGTGTCAGTCAATAAAAGAAACACAGCTAATTTTATAAATTGTTGCACACCATCGAAAATTGCTGTCGGTTAAGAACATTCAAAGCAATAGTATTCTAGTAAGTGTATTACTAGAAGCATCATGCTCGATAACAAATAACATCAGCATATCGGAATCTGGGTGACCATTTTTGCTTTGGGGTCTATAGGTTTAGCTAGACAGATAAACAGGGTCTTTGTTTATGAAATGAATCGATATGCAGATGGAAAACTACGGAGTCTTTCGGCGTTTTATCAATAGGGCTTTTTATACGCCTGCTTACGATCGTCGATCAGATATGCTAAACCACATCTGCTGATGAGTATGGATAATCAGCCAAGGTGTATTTTTATCAGCCGAAGTGGGGGTATTTTTGATTACAAAAACTAGTTGGGCTGACACGTAAAGGCATACCTGCTCTGGGGGCAGTCCCCATCGGAGGTCTCTTGCCATTCTACCCTATGCAGAGACCAGCCGCGCGCCAACTAGAGTAAGTACCTCTTTTTTATGCTTTTATGTTCAATAGAGTTTATTTATGAGTACTCCTGTGTTTTATGATCATCAGCCATTTGCAGCGCCAATTAGAAGTGATCTGCCAGGTGCAAAACTAATCACAATCATGACAAGTAAGGTGAAGGCACCTCTTTCCAATTCATGTTCTGGTACCTTCGTTTCTATTAGCTCGCCTATATGTATGTACGTAACAAGTATAATATCCAAACATCCCTAGTACTAGGCAACCACGCATCCTTCGGAAAAAAGGCTCTAAAAGAAGCTTCAGAATATCAAATCGTCGATGACCGCAAAGATAATCTAGATAGTGACCTCAGAGGTCATTTGAAGGTTATGTAAATTCGAATAGCAACAAACATTTTTGACACCAAATTCGTGAAGGCCTTGAGATTTTACAACAGAGTGCGTTTTCATACATTATTAGGACCTTCTGAAACGTCACCGTTTAAAAGTAAAGCTTGGCGTCAAGTAGTTTGACCCTGCACTTCGTATGCAAGGCTGTCATCAGTTCATAACGGATTATGTTCGGCTTTAGAAAGTCCTTCTTAGAAAAAAGGCAACCACGAACCTGTATAGCAAAGAAATTAAATGAACGAGGAAATCTATGATATATGAAATATGTCTAAAAGGTGCGTATAGTAACAGAGGTTGGGAACATATAAAATGCTAGTACCAAAAATGACATACGCTCTCCCACTTTCTACAACCCACAACATCCAATTTCTAACCCCTGCGTTTCTGAAAATGGTGAGGATTCTCTGAAATGTCAAGAAACGAAGTTTGAACGATTTTTAATTTTTTCGTTTTCAACTTTTTTCTCCGCCTCTACTGGACCGATTTTCAAAGAATTTTCGTCCATGGCATATTAATAGCCTTGTGTGAAAATTTCATCGAAATCCGAGCGGTACTTCTCAAGTTATAGGCGGTTAAATTATTAGTGGAAGACCGAATGACAGACAGACATACCAATATGGTTTTTCGTGATCAAATAAGATCTAAGAGTCGTACCGTCAGTCGTTCCTACAATTGTAGGACACCTTTATGGCCTCTTTTATTTTCATAGTTTTCTACTGTTCCATGTCAGCGCTCTATTTTGAGGTTATGTTACAAATATCTATTTGCATCAAATTGTTCATGCTTTTGATTTATAACAGTTGTTATATAGCCTGAATTTCCCTACAATTCAAAAAGAAAACATAGCCTCACAATAGGAGAGCGCCGAGGCTGACACGGAACAGTAGGAATCTAGAAATATTCCAGCCATCCTGAAGGAGAGAAAATGATATGAAAATCAAGGAGGCCATAAAGGCGTCCTACAATTGTAGGAACGACTGAAGATACAGTCCTAAAAGACATAATATCGCATTTTCAAATTTGTTCGCGATTACAATACTTCCTTGCCACTGCGGTGTAGGAACTAAAAACAGGTTGTTGTCAAAATGCTGGTTACAATTTGAATTAGCAAGCTTGACCTGCAAATGATTTCCGATGCCATTATCTAGGTCACATTTGATGCTTTTTTAAAATCTTGAAACATAGAAACTTGGCTGACAGGTCTCCGTGTCTGTGTTTGTGTATGAAACATATCCCCGGGACTTGCATATTAAAAGAGATATTCAGATAGTGCTCTTATCGACGCAAAAAAACGCACAAAATACTCCAAAAATCTGTAAAGAATCCTCTTTCTATGGCTTACGCACACTAGATGACGCCTTGCACTCTTTACTGCCGTATTTCAGTGTAGTGCGGCTACATATCCCCTTAGGACATTTAACGCAGCTACAACTGCATCATTAAACTGCTGTCTTGATTCGGGTCAAAAGGCCGTCGTCCTAAAGAAGAAATTTAGACCCTTATCAGGACAGCAGTTTATCAACTGGTCGCGAAAGCCTTAACCCATTTGTCAACTGCGTCATTATCGCGCAATGTCCTAGTTCGACTGGACTATGGATTCTTGCGGTTCGAAAGCGAGACCGGACAGCTTGACGCTGATTGGCCAACTCAAAACGGCTCGACTAACGGATTCTGCGCAAGAACGAGAATGGGCATCCAGATGTAGTGTTGGGCAGTCCGGGTCCGTCAAGGGATTCGTTCCACTGTCGGACTCGTTCCAACAGATTCATTCATTTCGTTCCGATCGAGTCACTTACCACCCGACGACTCGACTGACAGACTGGGTCCGGACCGATTTGAATACACACGCATTGTTGCCAGGTATGCGACAGATTAGTGATTTTAATACCACCATTTTACTAAGCAGTATTAGAGTCTATCGGTTTACGGAATATTGATTTGTTGCTGGTGCCTCATTTCTTATTAAGGTCCTGTTTTTCGATTTCCGGTTAATTTTCACATCAGGCAACTATGACGTTAACTATCAGTTGTCTGTGAATTCGTTTTTCAAGTGTTAACAATCAATAAACCGTTTATGCAGCAACCTTGCTTTTACCCCTGGATTATCGTGTCCTACGCGTTTCGTGATATTCGGTATTTGTGTCTCGTATCATACACGACAACTTATGTCGCTGTCAAGCACATATTGCGGTTTGACCAAAACTTTACAGTTATCCCATACATGGTCCTCTGGTTGCAGTTAACTACCACTTTAGTACAAATTCGATATTGAAAAACTCTGTCTGAAAGTTAACTTGGTTAGCAGACGAGTTGCACTTAACTTACGATTGAAAAACCGGGCCGTAGCAATCTATGCTGACGATAAAACGGTCTTCAACATCAACTCTCATGTTTCATAATACCGGTGATTGATATAAGTAATTTTAAAAAATAGCATGGCAGCTACTTTTTGTTTTATATGCAGGGCTGGCCTCAGACGGTAAGCAAGTGAAGCAAAATTCTCTATCAAGGGCGGATCCAGGGGGGTCGAGATCGACCAGCCAGCCAACCCCCCTCCACTTCTTCAGTTATTCAGAATTTTGCGGGAAACAAGGAGAAGGGCGGTCAAGTAAGCCAACCAATATCGTAACTTGGAATGTATCAAAAATAATAACAAAGAAACCGAGGATATCATCATGGCTGGTATCTTTGAACGCCTAAAAATTCAAGGCAGCTGTCCCCGAGCTGCCACTGGCACGTGAAGTCCACCCAGCCACCACTCCTTTCTTTTGCAACCTTTAAACGATTTTATTTTCTCCCAAAAAACTCTCCCAGAACATCTTATATCCAAAAATTTCTCCAAATTTGAGAGAAAACTGGCAACCCTGTCCTTTAAGCAAGTTCCAACGTTTGTTTGGAACACGATGGAAGGGATAGGAACACGACCATTCGCGAAATTTAATACCAATGTAAGAAGAGCAATATTTAATAAATGTGAAGCTAAATATGTTACGCACTTTGATAAACAGGATGAAGAACTACCATCAAAGAGACTATAATTATAGTTGTAGTCACCGTTCTTGGTGGCTCAAAGTAAGACTACCAGTATCCCTTTATATATCTCGGAGACTCGATCTGTTTACTTATTTC